ATAGGAACCAAAGCGTTCTACTATAATACAGCTATAAAACAGTCAAATGTTACACATTCCTTCTTAAAACTGCTTGTCCAGTTCAGGGTCACGGGGTAAAGCGGCATAAGAATATGTGTGTGTATAAAAAACATCAACTAAGTCAAAAAAAATAATCAAAACCTATTTACACAGTGTGTTCTTCTATTTTGTGTGCAAGATGTGTGTGTTCCAGGATGAGGTGTGCACAGCATGCACATGTGACTTAGTCTCTGTTTCTATTTTTCCAACACTCCCCCCCAACCTACCCGTTCGAATGCTCGAACCTGGTGTGTGTGTGTGTGTGTGTGTGTGTGTGTGTGTGTGTGTGTGTGTGTGCGTGTGTGTGTGTGTGCGTTCCTGTACTGCACTACAAAGACAGCTGCCTATTCTCAGTGGCATTTTTTATTCCTAAATTAGCAGCACTGGATTCCAGTGTGCAGCACAATCTTTATGAGAAACACACGCCACACACACACACACACACACACACACACACACACACACACACACACACACACACACAGGAAAGTGCCAGACGTCATGGACTAAACACAGTGTGAACCTGCTTTGCACTGAGTGATGAATAATTTGCTTTTATCTCAGCTGAGACACAGTTGAACTTGTTCCTCCCTTCTCTTTACCAATGCACTCCTCTGTCATTTGTGACTACAATACACAATGTTTCTCTGGAACTCCAGGAAATGTGATGGATAAAGCAGATGACCAAAGATGGGTTCAAAATTGGGTTCAAAATGAGACTTCTCTGTCTCTGCGGCTGCTAAGTAGCTACGTGATAACAGCTAACTGCTTCTGACCCAAGATAAGTTTCAACAGATGTTTCTAAAGTGTTGAATGGATGTGTAAAGGGAAAACCAAGTGAGAGAGATAGAAAAGAAGACGGTGGGGAATACGTGGAGGCAGTTTACTCATGAAGAAGGGGAAAGATGGACAGAGAAAGAGAAAGAGAAAGGGAAAGGAAACAACATAAAGTTGGGAAGAGTGAACAGCAGCAAGCCTGGGGGAATGAGAGAGAGAAGCAGGAAGAAGGGAGAGCGTGCGGTTGGGAAAGAGAGGGAATGAGAAAGGATACAAAGACAGACAGAGGCTGAGAGGGAGTGGAGCATACTAGAGTCATGAGTCACACATGGCAACCACAAGGCTAGCAGAGAGCGACTAGCAACAGACTGCACGCTCCTCACTCTGCAGCCATAACCAGGGGATTAAAGGATGGAGCAGATCTTCCTCATCAACCCTTCATCTCACCTTGCACACATACTCATTTTAATTAACTTTGCACATATTTACTGCCCAAATAAACTTTGTAAAAGATCTGATGTTCACATTTGAACAGTACTGTGCCTCAGAGATGATTTTTGTATATTTTGAGTTTTAGTTTTGTATTAAATTGTTATAACGTTCCTATGAGGCGCCAAAAAACGGATCTACAACGTTTAACAAACCAGAAATGATTAGCTGTGTCTCTGCTGGGCAGTAAATAAAAGCTCAGTGGTTACACAGGGGACGCACTGAAGGTCACAGCCACATCCCCGGTATGATATCAATGTCTTCTTGTTGAGGTTTCTAAATTTGTGTTTGTGAGGCACCAAAGTGATGCGAAGAAAGGTGAGGAGAAAGTGTGTCTCGCCCAAGAGTGCTCTCTCTTTCTCCCCTCCACCTACTGATTTCCTCACTCACTCTCATTTTCTTTTTTAAGAATTGTGGTCATGTGAGGAGAGGTGAGGACAGCGAGCTAAGTCTGTTTCACCTGAGAAAGGAAAGACAACTCTGTCTGTCGCCACCTTTGTTCACCCTCTCTCCATCTCCGTCTCTCACCCTGTAACCTCTCTCATCTCTCTCTGCCTCACTTTTCTCTCTCTCTGAAAAACTGTGCTCATATCAGTATCATGGATGTGCATTTAAACATGTCAAAAGCAACATATAGTCGATATTTTGCAGTTACACACGTGTGAGCAGGATGTGTGACTTGAAATTGTTGGCCAATTATGCTACGCAGATACAGTGTTCTCCTTGTCCCTGATCTTATAGGGCTGTTTTGTCATTTTAAAATGGAGTCTATTTTTTGTCACCAAGTAGGCTACCAATTACCCTGCAGGGAACTATTTTCATATTTGTTAGTCTTAGCTGAAACTATTTTCACAGTATGTCAGAGTACAAAAATATATTTGGGACTGTAGTTCTAGTATAAACACTTGAGGAAATCAAATTACCTTTTTGATGCCCCCACTTTCCCTCAAGATGCCCTGTTTACTTGTACTTCAGTTACTGATGTCAAACACGGAAGGGACATCAACTTGTTGCAAGACAGACATAGTATAGACGGTTGCAGATAGCCTTCCAAAGTGTATGTTAGCTTAGTGGCATGTGTGTGGTCCTGACGACGCCCCTTGCTCAAACACACTATATTTTACAACTGCAGCACATTCTGGCCTAAGGTCATTCTGTGTAACACTGATCTCTCCTCGTATGCAGATTGCATTTTGGTGTGAAATCAGCTTTTGGTTCATGATTTTGAGGAACAGAAACTAAAACCTGACATTTACTAATGGCTTCTTGTTTATCCATGCACAGTCATATCCGTAACCATGGGTCACAGAAACCCACTGATAATGCAAAACAACAACAACAACAACAACAACCCACCGCTTGTTTCAACTGTTTATGCATCTCTATCCTTTTACAGTTAATGGCTCAAGGCACTCTGCCAGCCACCATCTTGTGCTCCCATACAGTGTAAAAACGATTTAGAAACCTCAATCCAATAAGAGCTGAAACAGTTTGTCAATGCTGGATCAGCAGAAAACTGATGGATGATCATTTGATAACCAATTAATTGTTGACATTATTTAGCAAGAAAAGGAACCAAACTTCAACATGTGAATATGATTGTTTCTTACCACTGTACATTGTGGGGTTTTTTATTGTAACAACAGTCACTAAAACATACTGACTGATTTGATGAATCACAATTGACAAATAATCAATATTTGCCATTTCTTTATACAGCGGAATTTGACGGCTCCTGTATCTGTCCTTGTGTCAATCTGTCCTTGTGCCACATAGTAGCAAACTGTTACCACCACTGCTCTTATCAGCTGGCCTTTTCACACACACACACACACACAAACACACACACACACACACACACACACACACACACACACACACACACACACACATCAGCTTACAGCATGTGTTCAATAAAGCGTGCAACAGTATGACAATATTGGAAAATTCCCCTGGGGAAGCTCTTCATTGGTATTTGAGGAGCAGAACTATCCATTTATTCCTAATAATAATAATGCTATTAAAGAGGCCAAGGCTTGAATATAAACACATAAAGGCTTTCATTTTATCTGGTGGGTTCAACCGACTAAAGGTACAGACACAGTCCGTCCGTCCACTGTAAGCCTGCTGTGGACTTTTTTAAGAGCCAATTGACGTGAATGGCGCTATCAAAGCGCGTGAGGGAAGAGTTTCGTTGGCCCGTGTGCGCGTGCCGTTCCATTGTCCTGACCCTGGTGGGCTCGAGGAGAAAAGTCAGCCGGATAACATTGTGGCCTTATGACACATGTTGTATTGTACTTTTACATTTAAAAGACGAATGAACTTTTCTGTGTGGAAATGAACGATACTGAGTTTGTGAGTAACTGAATGAGCCAGCTGATAAACAAACAACTGTTCTCCATCGCAAACAAACCTGTTGGGAAGCTAAGCGCCGAGGTTACATGTATCCTTAAAACTAGCCTGACTGGAGCTAAACTGTGCGTCACTTGCCTAAAGAGATGCTCCCGAGCATGTTTGGAAATCTTGAACCCCACAAACAAATTCCCCCGAATAAAGAAAAACACTTTCTTTATTCGGACAATCTTCTGTGTGAAATATGAGCTTCTTTTGTTCAACACTTACCTCTCACACGTTGAATTCAGCAGCGACAAAAAAAACGAGGAAATTTCTCACAGGCGGATGTCTGACTCAGTCCTAGCGACTTTTCTGCACTCTGTGCGCCAACACCCTGCCTTCACCACTGAGACACTCAACAGGTTGGCTCGGTTTTAGAAAAGGGGGCTGAGTTTAAAATTCTCGACTTTGTCAGGCTATCCTGATCCCGGGTCGGTTTCTGTGGCCCTGCTGGCTGTTGGAGCTGGAAGCGAGCGGGGCGTGGAAGCTGATCCAGAGTCAGGACTGAGAGCCCGGGAGGAGGAGTGGGGGATTAATGTTTGCTTGTCGAGAACGAAAATGGAGAAATTTGTCTGTTTGCGGTGATTTACACTTAGACTGGGATTTAGGTTGTTGGCTATTAACAGTTAGGGTCATAACAAAGCTGTAATAAAAATAATAACAATATAATATAGGCTAATAATTATGGTCCATATGACAATAGTAACTTAAAGGAAAGAGTAACACCAGTTAATTTGAAAAAACAACTGCAATACAACAATTTAGTTTAACATAGTTACATTTATTTTAATTTTGGATGTGCACACCAAAGGTTTCCAACATATTTTCTAACCGTGTCAATATTGAAATGGTTGACCACATGGTAATCTAACTCTACAGTTTATTATACGGCAAAACATACAATGAACAGAGGGAAATAATGACTACACATCACATTATGTTCCTTATGATGCACTATTTCAGTAACTATATGCAACATAATGACTAAACTAAGCACTACGTGAGACAGGCTGAATGTGTTGTGAAGGTTCCAGGTACAGGGAGAAGCAAATTTGTGAATATAAATGAGCCTGATTTCCATATAAGTACAGAGCTGGATACATTTCAGCATTAAAAACAAATAAACACAGGGGGGGGCTTCATCGTGACATTTCAATTTTTGAGACCGCTTTTACATCCTTCATAATTTCAGCAGCCCTTCACCTGTTTTTTTAAATCAATGGTATTTCTTTGCACAGGTCTGTACAGGTACAACCCCCCACCATGCACCCAATCTCTCCACCCCTTGCCTGTCAGCTCTTCCTCCTGGACCAAACTGGTTTGTCGGGCACGGTATCAGATTTCACTGTTGTCATCTTCGCCTTTTCTACAAGGTAAAAGAGGAGGGCGGGGCGACAGTTAGCGTGGCAGTTTGGGAAGAAAGACAAAGAGAGAGCCAACAAGAGGGGGGACAAGTCACTGACACTGACACAAACACACATTTTTGGGAGGTATAAGAGAAAAACGTACTTGTCCGTCCTAGAACACTTGTTGTCTGTGAAGGCAAAGTAGGATAATGTTACTGAGGTTACACACACTTCAATACACTGTTATGTCTTTGGTATTTGCATAAATTATGCACAGAAAACATTGTACTTGTTATTGTGGTCTGCATGGCTCAGTATAAATAACTAATGTCTTTCATTTCTATATTCTATCTCAACTCAGTTTCAGTTCAGTATTTTTTCCACAGTTTTACCGTGCTGGCTTATTTTGTCTGTGTGGTTTCAGGACTTACAAAGTATAACGCCGAGTCCTCCGGCCACCAACAAGCAGGCACAGATCAGGCCTCCAATTCGTAGCCTTTCATAGTCTGTTAGACAATAATGTTAGAGGTTAAGAGGGTCCTGGTGCACTGGACTAAACACAAATGCAAATCCAAAGCAAACATATTCTAAAATTAACTGGACTAATAAACTCATATTTGAGTCATGCTTCTAAAAGTCTTTTATATGACTTTGTTAACAGTCATTTTTGCAGTGGTTGATTTGTTATCAGGAAAATGCAGCTTGTAATAATATAAGTGAATACATTATACTGCACATAATCCATATAAATGAGTGAGTAGATTATAATATTAGGAGATACGAGTGTCTGTACTTACTGTAAACAAACGGATCTGCAGACCAAATGCAAGAGGAGGAGAAATAACAAAAGTTATTGGTTCACTTCAAGCAATTACCCAATGTGACAGACCATTGTAATAGAGACAAAGGAACTTAATGTGTTTGATTTCTTCCTAAACCCGTTTCTCAACAAACCAGTCTCAGGACAAGATTACGTAAAAGTAGTTTTGGCCTTACTTGCTTCAGTTTCCATGAAAAGGCTGAATAGCACTGCAAGAAAGTCAGACAGACAGAAGGTCAACTGTGTTCAGTGGGAGTTGTCTTTATTGCTACAGTGCAGCCATTTTCTTTCTTGTAAAAACAAGTAGTGATTTGAAGGATTTCAGGGTCATGGAGTACTTTTTGAACAAGTGAGCTTTTGTATGCTCTTAAATTCTCTTGAAAACAAAATATCTGGAATATTTACAGACAAAGTAATATGTACATACTTGCATATTATAATAAACAGTATATATTATAATTACAGTACAGTAGTTTGTGTTTTGTCAAAATTTCTTTCTGCAACTGTCAGCTAACATAATCTCCAAGAGAAAGGAGGATGATCCACAACCTTGAGACCACTTAAATGTTGTCCTTGTAGTAAAGTGCATTTTTGTTCTTTTTTTCTCATGACCCTGATGACGTGAAATGATATATATGTGTAAAAGTGACTGTTTTCAATTTTATTTACCTGCCATAACAGTCACTACAGTGAGATGTCCCATCTTCAACACAACTAAGAGTCAGATAAAGACAGAGAGAGGGAGAGAGAACATGATTGTGAGAAAGCATAAAAGACAAAGAGGAAAACTGAAGTGTCGATTTTTTTCCCATCAATTTTCCTTCTCAGGCACACATGTGCATACAAGCAACAAAGCCTGTACTTCTCCCTCTCCCCAGGCAAAGTGTCCTTGTTGTGTGAGAGGTCAGTGTCTCGTCAGCAGGGATGCATTCTGGGTGTTTAGAGAGTAAACAGTGGATCATTTTTTGTCTTGGGGCAAAACCCAGCAGGTTTCCAGACAACTTTCCTTTAGTCTCCACTCAAACCTCTCAAACTGTCAAACACCGTCATGTGCTTTACAGTATCTAAAGATCATTTCTGAACCTGTGATCTCTGAGCTTCAACTTCATACAAACAATTGAATTTATCACTAACTTTAGAAAGTTTATGTCTTATATAACATCCATATAGGTGAGAAAATACAGCTTTTTATAACATGCATTTCAGAGTAGAGTATTATTGTAAACTGCCAATTGTATGTACTTTGCAGATCATCAAAAGCCAACAGTTGACTGAAATATGTTTTATATTATTGATGCAGACATTTAAAATGTATCCTAAGGGTAGGAGAAAAGTGAGCATACAAAAGGACTTTTCAGTGACCTCACTTTAACCTCTAACTGGCCTTGGACACCCTTGGGAATCCACCTGGTTAGACTCATTGCATTTCTTCTCTGCTCTGCTTCACTCTGGCTCAAACTAGTTTTCCATTCACAAGTATTTTTTTTCCTGTCTGTTATTTAAACCGTGCATAGAAAGAGCATAGTGAATTAGCTCTAGACAAATCACGTTTGCTTTTTTCCATGTTTGTTAAATCTGACAAGAAGAGGTACGCGGTGTACCCAGAGTAAAGAATTTCACATCAAAATAAAAACAAAGATAAGAGACTTCTTATGCAGTTTTGGTTCACTTATCTTCAATCATGACCTCTTTCTTCTGTCAAAAAATGTCATTGCACTAATCAGTTAGCATGACATTAGTCAAGGTCAAACTGTAGACGGGCCTTTGTCTTTCAAATGCATCCCACTTCTCAGATGACACAGCAGCGGAAGAGAGAGAGCCACAGAAGAATGGGCTTTCTGCTTGGCTTTAAAGTGATTTACACACAATAATAAGGTTGGCCCACTCTAGCGTGGATGTTACAGTTCAGTGTCCTTAACATTTTACTGTTCTGTCAACATCCCCTGCATTCTTCACTCCTTTGTTAACCGACTTCAGTGCTGCTCTGCTTCTTAAATGTTTTTAAACCCAAATTCAATTTGGAAAATGTACTGCTGTCAGAGAAAAAAGGTTTACCAAACGATAGCAAAATGCTGCTTTTGTTAAGACTAACCAGAAATAAGCACATTTATCATTATTATCATTTATCACATACAGCCTCATAATGAAGGGAGAAAAGTTTTGAAATTCACTTGTCATGTCAAGAATATTTGCTATTCAATTTGTTCATATTTTCCTCCAAGGCAAATTTAAAAGCTCATCTTGCAGTAAAATCATCAAATGGCCTCTATCTACCACTCTCTGCTCTCACACTAAAACCATCAGCAAAAATGATAATCAAACAAAAACCAAAACCTTTAACATCAACGTTCCTGAAGAAAAGGTGACCTTGAACCCTAACCCTGAATCCCATCCTGCCCTGCTCTCCCATATAGTACCTCTGCTTACCTGCGTGGATGGTTCAGAAGCAGAGGAGTGTGTGTGAATGTTCCAAGACACTGCTTGGTGAAAAGCATGCATTTTCTATTTTACCTGAATACGTATCGCCTGCTCCTCCTCTTTGTTTGGGATATAAACTTCAGTGTGTGCACGTGTCCAATGTAAAAGTGTGACAGTGGCAGGGGCGCCGCGTTTACGTACATATAGTGGACTAGTGGCAATGTTATTTCATAAACATCAGTGTGTGTGCATGTGGATAATGGAGTGATTGTAATTTGTAATTATGGTTAATACACTAAACCAGGGGTTCTAAAAGTTAGACTGTGGGCCTCTCCTTTACACAAAGCTTGGAAATAGGCTCAATCTTACACTAAGACACAGAGTAAAATGTTCATATATTTTAACATTAAATCCATGTTACACTAGTTGTAATTCTCCAGCTTGACTGCTTTGACACACCAGTCACAAGTCTGTGTTTAAACAACATGGTGAAGAAGCAAATCCGAGGGGAGATCAGTCATGGAAAATATGAATAGTGGAAAAACTGTGATCATAGCAAGACATGATCTTCATCATCTAGCCTTCCAGATACAGCAGAATTAACTTCTTTTTTAAGCATATTCTTTAATTTTAGATGACAGAAAGACAGGAGGAGGGCATGACAGTGTGTGTTGTACAGTGCACTATTTCTGTCCTTCTTCCTCTGACTTCATTGATCTCTCTGTGGCTCTGTCAGGTATCACAGGTATCTCTCCAGTGCTCCTCTCTCTGTGGAACAGATTGCACTATGTTGGTCTTATGGTTGACAGGCATTCTCCTTTTTTTCTTTTACTAAATCTGGAGCAGGAGGGAAGGATCCCTTCAGGACTGATTAAAACTCACAACCTTGCCTGAAAGGGACCAATTTTTAAATTGGGAGTTGTTGTTGTTTGTTCTTGCATGTATCAACTCAATTCACTTTAATGACCATGCAGTTAAGCATGGTACGTTATGGTATCTGTGTAGATTTGTTAGTGTTACCCCTATATTTATTTATATATACATGTTTGCAGAAATATGCGAGTGCATGCATGTGTGACAGTGTTGATCTGGGACTATTTCTACCTTTTTCCTGTCACAAAGCTGAGGCATGCATCAGCCTCTTAACAAATGATAATACTGTGGACAGAGGAGATAGAGAATGACACACACACACACACACACACACACACACACACACACACCCACAGAGACGTACTGTAGCTGAACGTGTGTATGTGTGGTTATATGTGTGTGTGTAAGTGATAATACAACAATTTGGCTGCAGATAGAGTGGCAACTGGTGATGACAAGGCAGAGAGAGAGAGAGAGAGAGAGAGAGAGAGAGAGAGAGAGAGAGAAGAGAAGACTAGAGATACATTTTACAGGCTTATTCACTCCCATCAAAATGTTCATATTAAATTAATATTCACACAATATCCAATTAGGAACAAAATCTAAATGCATAATTACCTGGAACTGAGTTTTAAGGGCTCTGCAGCCACACTGTATCCATGTGTTTTCACTGGTTTCTGTCTGCATAAAGCACCAGTTGTCTGTAACATTGTTTAAGTGAGGTTAAATAAAGGTCACTTTGTCCTGTGTCAATGGCACGTCACTGATAGAATTAGAGGTAATATAGAGAGCGGATGTTCAGTGTTTTTTCTTTCTGTGGTGAAAATTACAATATTATTTTCCTGAGAAACACATCATCTCTTCCCCACAACTGAGTATTTTCATGGCATTATTAGGCACAGTACAACAATGTTAATGTTTAAATATATATGAAATTACCCAGGGTACTGTAATCTCTGCCATTTAAGGAGTTTACTAACAGTAGACTGAAGGCTCACTGATTTCCTGACATTTATTTAAAAAAAGTAATAACAATAAGGATGAAACTAGTTTAAAGTGAAAGTTAACAATTATATTAGCTTTATAAAGAAATAAAAAGATTGCATTTTTACAGCAGGATGACAAACTGCTTGCATTTCTGCTGTTGTTTACTTCACTATAATCTTGCTTTTTCCTGCATTTGTATTGATATTATTATTGTAAATTGTATTGTAAAAGCTCCTTTAGACCTGAAAAAGAAAGAAGAAAAGATCTCACAGGTATAGACAGAAGAGACGCCATATGGTCCTGCCGGATCAGATCAATGCTTCAGAGCATAAAACCTAATCTGTGATGTTCTTGTCTCAATGGTCCACCACGAGTGTGGTAAAAACAGAGGTTAGTTGTAGGTCAGTTAAAATGCTTCTAAAAGTTGTAAAGTCTATCGTCTGCTCTTTTTCTAACTCGACTCAAAATGATCAACTTGTTACTATTTAACTTTAACTGTAATAGTTTAACCCATGTTTCCTCAGGTATTGATGGGTGTAGCAAGATAAACTAATTCATTGTCAGTTAAAGGTCATCTTGAGAACACACACAGAACAATGTAGGTTATCAGTGGGCACACACACACACACACACACACACACACACACACACACACACACACACACACACACACACACACACACACAAACACATATGGCACCACATGTGTCTCTGTTATGGTGGTATTAAGGGTGTTTGTCCATAAACAGTAAAACTAAAGGTCTAAGAACAGGTTAGCTTACATAGCAGTAAGAGAGACCCAGTCACTCAGCAACAGAGCTTCACTTAGCTCTGGAAACATCCTGTGGAAGTAATTCCTAATCTTCCTTGCAGAATCACATTTGGAAACTCAAGAAAATAGAGCCTTGACGGTTTCCTCACATGACAGTGGGTATTGCGTATTTAGACAAGGTTACAAGAAGGGACTTTTTTCCCAACCAGAGCTAAGAAATGACGAACAAGACAAAAGACTCCCACTCTGAATGCACCACACTCATTTGATCCTGTGTCACGCAAACACCAAATGTAGCCAGTCATACTGTATGCTGATCACTGTAAGACTTCAATAGTTGTGGGGAATATGAAGAAATCAGACACCAGGATATGACAGAAACCTATCACGGAGTGAACCGAGGTGTAGCTGAGCAGCTGAGTCAACACGTTGCTCCACACTGCCTCTGTTGTATCAACTAAAAGATGGGGCAGAATTCCCCCCTGCTGATTGCCCTGGGTGTGTGTGTGTGTGTGTTGCTGGCTGTCCATACAGCTCTATCAGGTGTCACAACACGCAGTCAGGGGAATAAAGACCACAATCAAAAATACCAGTGGTCATATTAGTGCTCACCGAGCTGAATTCTAACGTTAATTTTTTTTATCCAATATGAGCAACTGTGCAGAGTACTAGTGTTTGAGTAGTAAAATAGCATCATTTCAGTGACTTTGCTAACACAATGGGGGAGCCGTGGAAGACCAAAGAACTTGTGGTAGACCATGAAACACAAACGTATGTGTTTCAGATCATTTTGAGAACTCAAGGCACTGCTGTTAAAAAATACCCATGCAAATTAAGAAAAAAATCTTCTCCAATTTGAAAACCCATGCACAGAATATCAAAGAAATGCTGCAAAGTGAGAAAACACAACCAATACAGAAACACTGAAAGTAGCAGTAACAGAAACTGTTTCCAGGGGACACTAACAGATGATGAACACGCCTTTGAAGTTATGGAAGTCTGCTATCCATGTGGTGGCTAAAATGTATTTTTTTTGGGTGTATATAATAATTGGGTCCTAGCTGTGGTCGGGCTTCTTGCAGTGAGTCTATATTTTGTTTTGATTTCTGTATTTGAAGCATTTTTTCTTTGTTGTTTCTGAGCTCTCAGGGACACCGTCCCCAAGGTCATTTCCTCTAACTTATATTTTAATTTAATTTAATTGACATCAGCTCCTATTGTTTCTGGTACTTTGTGTCAAACAACCAATAAAACAACATATCAACAGAAGGATAAAGGACAGAAACACCAAACACTGTGGAGGTCTTGTTCCTGACACAAGCCGACATGGAAGGAGTTCACCACCAGGGGGAAGCAAGAGATACTCAAAAGTTATCATCATGTGGTTACAGTGCATCACCGTTCAGATGTGTCTTTATCTATACTTTTGGCTGCTCTTTCAAGGGTGTTGCACATTACAGTAACTGCAGCACGTCTATCTAAGAAGTTACCGTGAAAAGTAACCAAACCATTTAGTTTGTAACTCTGTACAATAGCAGCAAACATCATCATGCAGCAGCAATGTTGGTGATTATGCAGTGGATACCCAGGTTGTACAGATGATGAGATACAGAAATAAACATGTAAGTTCTGAATTGAAGCAGAATTTATCAGCTTGAATTGCCAACTGGCCGACAACAAACAAACGAACAAACAAACTTTGTGTTGAGCCTGAAGTCAACAAAAACATGCAAAGTTGTTGTCTGATTCTAGAGTGAGCCAAAGCACACATTATATAGACATTCATACACACATAAGAGGAATCTGCATTGGTGATATATATATATATATATATATATATATATATATGTCTATATAGTTTTGGATTTGACATCCTGTAACTTTGATTTTGTCATGGGCCACACACTTACAGCAAGCTCTTAATGTAAGTCTATCTAGAAAATGAGAACAAACAATCAATAAACAAGAGAATATTACAGCAATGTAATCATCAAAGTATCTAAAGAAATTAAAAGACAAGAATAAAGTGCACAAAAACAAACATCAACAGCAGCAAAAAAAACAAAGACATCCCTAAGTTTACATTTGGTAACTGTAGAACTAAGAAATAATGTGCTTTGCCTCTATGCAAAGACAATGACTGTGTAACCACGTCAAAAGCATCAGGACAATTTACTTCCTTGACTAAGAATGCAAATACATAGAAAAACATTTTCACATCAAAATCACTTCAAAGAAAGGAATAGCAATTAGAGTTTTAACTGAATCATTTGACAAAAAGGTTGTTGTGATGTTGTGATAGACACATAAATTGTCATTGTGTTTAGTCTTTACAATCAGTTCTTTTAAAGTGAATATCTACAGCAGCTGACTGGCTTTGTTTACTGTGGAGTAAGTGCTTCCCTCAAGTGGACAAACTGGAAAAGTGTAGCTGATTTAACTGGTATTACAAGCACAACTGGAATCCATCAGTGAGTATTTTTCCTTCAATAGTTTGTTGTTATACAGCTGTAAAACATATGTACCAGCACAAAGGACAGCTAGTCTTCCATTCCTCATTTATAAGGGACCAGTCTGCAGGCAATGTTTTTGTGATAGCTTACTCAGGACTTTCACAACATCCCTGTGACCACTAAGCAACAATTTAAAGCCCCATTATGTAACTTTTCTACCTTCTTATAAGAGCTTAAAAATCATCTTGATGAACAGACATTTTCAATAGTTCTTAAAGTACTAAAGTAAATTACTACTGCTTTCTATGCACGCACACACACACACACACACACACACACACACACACACACACACACACACACACACACACACACACACACACACACACACACAGACTAAACTGGTTTGGCCACATTAGTGAGCACAGCAGCATATTTTACACATGATTTATAAAGTATATAAGGCAGTGCACATGTGACCCTGCATAAGTGGGGGAAGAGCTCTGGCTTAATCATTTCTTGGTGAATTGTTTGAAGAGCTCGTTGACTGTGAGTAATGTGTGCAGGGTCCAGTTATTGAAGGCAGGACAAGGAACTGAAGATATCGGGGGGTCAGTCTGGATCCGGCCTCAAACATTTCAGTCATCATCTCCAGACTTGGATTGGATCCAACTTTCACTTCGCTCAGATCGGTCAAAGGATTTAAAATAACCAGTTAATTTCTACTTCAATTCTCTAGAATAGAGAACACAACTTTGCATGTGTTCTATGAAGCAACATCAAGTAACCAAACAGTCTTTGTCGTCCTTTTGCCTCCTTTTAATCCTTTGTTACTATTGTGACCACATCTTCTTCTGTTTCTTTCCCCCCTGAAAGCACAAACACAGCACACATTACTTATCAATTTTAAATTTGTAGTCATTATATTACATATCTAACCTGTGACTTGAAGCATGATACTTACTGAAGCACTTCTGGAGGGTCTCAGATCTCCGCAGCATGGTGTACGATAGACCAGCCACCAAGAGAACGCCAAAGAAACCCCCGATGGTACAGCCAATGAGAATGGCTTGGCTGATGCCACTATCTAGGAGAGAAGAGGAATGAACACAAACTTTTATGCCTTGTGAATCATATTTCCAGATTTAACAAATGGAAGGGAGAACTAATAAATCAAACATTTATTTTTCTATTTTAAATGTAAAAGATACAGTATATCTGCTATTAAAAAAATAATAACAAAGCACTAAGAAAACACACAAACAAAATGAAGATTACTTATTATTTTAGAGGATGTTTTCAGACGCGAGAGCAGGGCTGAGCCCCCATCAGTGTTTTTACATGTAGTACAAGTAAGTAAATTAAAGGAATAACTATGATTTAAACGTGTATTTATTATGTGATCAACATGGTGAGAAAAATATAGATGTGTACAAAACAAAAGGTTTTATGTATGTTCTATTTCTCCCAGATATGATATTGGCAGTCGCTTGCCTTTTGTGGAGCTATAGTTTGTTACCAAATCTAATAAAGGGAATAGGCAGTGTTGCTGTGTATAGAATGAGACTTCACCATAGACACGTAGGATGGCAGCATGGGTTTCCATGTTGTTTGACTGCTGACACACGACTCTTGTGCCATTGTCGGAGAACGAAGTTCCCTTGATGGTCCACACAGCCAATGACTCTCCTTTCTTCATTTCACAACTTCCATAGAGAGCCTGAGGAGAGAGACAGGGGAGGGTATGCAGAATGGTTCAGAAGAGAGGACAGGTAAGAAAGAATAATGAATTAAAAAAGAATATATGAACATGATGTGAGATATGCTCCAGCCCCCCTTGACCCAGCCTGCACAGGATATGTGGGTAGATAATGGATGGATGGATGGTCAATATGCCACTGATGGTAATGGCTTTCAGTCAACAACGAGTTTGCAATGTTCACACATTTATGTCTTAATACTTTAACTTTAACTTTAACTTTACTAATGAACTAAACTAGAATAAAACTCGTGACTCTTAAGGAAGATCCATTCAATGTGTTTTTGTTACAGTTGCACTGGTCCACAGTGGCAGTGTTTTTCTTTAAAAGCTAAAATATCCCCTCAAGACATGTATTAAGACATATATTCAAATAGTCAGCTTGAAACAATAGCGTGTGCCTGAAATGTTATTTCCTCAGAAAAGTCTAATTTCCACATTAAAATCCTTAAAAGGCATCTCCTCCTTCTACCTCATTCAAAAAATCCAGAATCTATGAATATGTAAATTTGGTAATTTTTTTGTCTCCTACTTCACTGTAAGATCCATTCTCAGTGTCTGTGCACTGTAGAAGTTGCATACAGGACCAGGGTTGACTTCCAATCAAGTTGAGATGTCACAAATTTGTCTTTACACACATTCCTGCCAGTGGTTTCACACTATACCACTGATCTACAGGTGGTAGTAATGCAGTAACTTTGGTAAAAAATATTACACAGTGTTAACAATTTATAAAATCTAACAGTAAGTTAGAAAAAAAACACAGCTATCAGTTTAAGTAAAACAATTAATGCAACCTCTAAGTTTACACTGGGTTTGTGTGTCTGTGACGGCAAGATAAAGTTACTATGGGGAAGAGTAGAAAAAAGTGAGTATAAAGTGAGGCAGTAGAGTAAATATGGAGTTAGACGGCGACTGCCTCACCTGGGGGATGTCTTCCGTATAGCCGTAAGGGCAGGTGAGGCTGTAGTTCTTTTGAGTCCTGTAGAAGGTGAATGTGAGGTTTGGAGAAGCTATGGGCACTCCACAGAGAAACACCGCAGGGTCTCCCACAGCCACTCTAACGTCAACTGGGCGTGTGAGGTAACGGAGAGCTGCAGCTGAAGTGGTGGTGTTGGTGTCTTGAGCTGCAACAGTGAAGAAGTGTTGACAGTGTTGTGAGTTTGTGTGAGAGGGAGATAAAGAGGAAAGAGCAAACATGGAAATAATGGGATGCTATTACTAATAATTCTAACAATGTATGCATTTACACATAATTAAAGGCATATTTATCACCCAGTGATATATATATATATATTATATATATATATATATAGCACTAAAACACTTTCCATTTATTATAACTGAATTCAATTCCAGCTCATTATTTATGAAAGAAAAATCTGGTAATTTCCCAGAATTCATTTCTGCATGCCTTCTGAACACAAGGTATAAATATTTTAGCAAATTATTTGACATTACTCTCATGTCTTTCTTTTAGCTATATGCATATTTTAATCTGTGCTATGACAAATTAAACCTCACCTGGAAGAAAACATGAATGTTTTTATTCCTTTTTAGAACATTTGGTTATCAAATAAAAAAATAAAAAAATAATATCCTGGTAAAACATGTTTTCACCTTTCTCTTGTCACACAAAGAGAACAATTTAGATCAGACTAATATTATATATATATATATATATATATATATATATATATATATATATATATATATCAGGAAGCACTGAAATCCAGTTGTTGAGGTGAGTTGTTGTTATGTACAAAAACACATTTGCACCTGTCCTTGGGATGCTAATCAGGAACTGAATGCTACTGCAACTGATATGAGCTTAAGCAAAGTCCCTTCACGGCCTTCATAAACATTTGAATATTCTAATGACTGTAAACTTGTGTTTCCCTGTAAGATTTTCTTGGTCTTCCCCCAGTCACTAAAGTTCTACTGAAAGTCTCAGACTGCAAAACATCCTCACAGTCTACACATAGTTCATTTCCTGCTATGAATTCTTTATTCATTGAAATATGACTGTGATGAATGCATTTAGTTTAATGTGGGTAAGTACTAGAAACTTTAAGCATCAAATCTGATATTTTGATATCATGGCTGTGGTTAGTTACCTGAGGAAGGTGTGGTGATTTGGAGCAGAGCCAGCAGCAGCCAGCAGATATAAGGAACCTTCCTCTTCCTCCTCATCTCTCCTTTCTTTCTTTTCTCCATTCTTTTTCTTCAAACAGTCTCTCTTATTATAAATCTGCAAAAGTTTGAACATTTTAACTTTACTTTTCATACAACTTTAAAGGAAAAGAATACATGCAACAGTACAAGAGTCCTCATGTGCATTTACACTCAATGATTTTAGTTGTATCACTGCTTCATATGAAAAAGCTACCAGTTTTTTAGGAGATAGTCAAACTCTGATTCAGTACCTTCACTATATTATCAGTATGAAAAAAACATCATATGAGCCATGAAATGATACAATTAATCCTGAAACTCTTTCTCCCCTTTTTAGACCTCCACTGATTCCTGGGTCTTATGAATTGGGAATGAATAACGTTGACTTTTATAGACAATTTTCATGTTTCAAACTGGTTGGATTTAACAACAATAGCAAAATATAAAATAAAATAACAAGCACAACGATATTGTGCACATTTCCTGCACAATAATCATTACTGATGTCACACCACTGCCATTTAGACAGTTTCTGAGAAACATACAAGAAATCACTATTTTTTGGTACACTAGATTTTCTTTACTGAGCTTCCACATCCCTGGTTAATGCAGTCATTAAAATCGGTTTTGTAATCCTATCACCATAATCCTGACTATTTTGTCCCCAAAACCAAAACTGAATTATTAACACTAACCGCAAAATGAACTGGAAATTCCCCAGCAGCTCTGCAGGCAGATTCCTTATTTGAAGGTTGTGACAGTGCTCCTTTAAAAATAAATCCTATGTATTGTTGAAATGAGCACCTCAGATGCCTTGACGCCTTCTCCACACTTTCTAGTCGGACATATATCTCCGGCCAGTGTCTACAAAAACAGTGAAGAGGCTGTCACTGTCTCCACATAATGCTGACTCTCCTCATCTCACTCCATCCTCCCTCTAGGTGGGAGGTTCAAAACAACAAGGCACCTGAAGGAACGTGGAGAGCTTCCTGATTTACAAGATGGATGTCTGCGAATGAGAAACAGGTTGAACAGGCCGGGCAAGGAGGCTTTTGATGCTGCTCCATTTACTTTGGCTCTCTCTCTGTCACACACACACCACACACACACACACACACACACACACACACACACACACACACACACACACACACATCTGTTATCCCTCCCTCCCTCATCCCCCTCAAGTCTCCCTTACTTTCCCTACTGTCTCTCAGTCTTAATAAGCTTTAAATACTTGGCGACCAAAATTTTACTTTCAAATAAGTTCCTTCCTTCTGAAGGACAAGCAGCTTGGTATCACTTTTCACCAAATTGCTCTTGCACTTGTTCTTGTTTAAACGCCCTGTGCCAATCAATTATAGTGCGTTGTTTATTTTTAGACACTGAGACAATGCATACCATAAAATTGAAAGAGTGAGATTACATTCAGGCTCTGCTGCTTGCGTGATAAAAGTCTACAGACACGCTAGCAGCTCTGTGAAGTTGCACATTTTTTATTTCACATGAAGTAAATTTATAAATAGGTGTGAGGTTTCCTGTAATGACTAATGTGACCAAGAAGATATTAGAAAAAGTATTAGTGTTCAAATATTGCACATATAAAATAGTATAGAATTATAATTGAAAAATGCAGAGAAGAAGGAGTAATTGACGTACGTGACCTCTACAGAGCTTTGAGCTAAATGCTAACATGTTTGGCAGGTTTGATTGTAAAAGGTTCACTGTCTTAGTTCAGCCTGTTACCATGCTAACTTTAATTGTCACTGAACACAAAATAAAACTATTTTTCATTCGTTTTGCAAGTAAAAGTCAGGGGTTCACCAAATTAGAATTTGTCCTCTAGGGACCTTGAATGTCTGCAGCAAACTTTATAACTACAACTCCAATAAAACTCCACTAACTACAAATGTCACTGTTGTGGACCATGGTGGCCCTACCCAAAAAGTTAGGGGATCACCAAAGATCACTAGAAGTAGAATAAGTTAGGAAGAAATCATGAATGTACATTTTCTGTAAATCCTGTAGAGGTCTGTTTTACTAAATAAAATAAAGGAAAAGCCAGTGGAGGACAGTTAATCAACTAGACTGTCAAGACAATCCATTAAATTGTTTTTTTTGACATATTTCAGTCTAGACTGACATATTATTAAATGTCTGCGCAAGAAACAAACTGAGAACCAAACTGAGATCTGATGATGTTCTCCTTGTTGAAGCAGGAGACTTTACCTTTGGAAAAGACTGCCTCTTGTTGGAGAGCATTGTGTTTTTGCTTTTTTTTAAACGTAGAACATGAAAAGAAACATTTGTTACAGCAGTAGAAAGAAAATAAATTTTAGAAGGAAAGCAAAAAAAAAAAAAACAGCACATAGTAAATGACGAGATGTGAGACCAGGAAGTGTTAACCACAAGTTCCTCATGTACATGTGTTTTTTAACTTTTTTTTCCCTCCAAGTCATTATATCATCTTTATTAACTGTTTTTTTGGTATGTGCGAGAAAGACAGCTGACTCCGCCCATCGTGTGATGTGTCAGCAGCCTCACAAGAGCATCACGGGTCAGAGCTTTGCTGCACTTGTCCAAAACTCTCTTAGACTACATTTCCAGAAGTGCCTATCTCTAATTTAGCTCTACGTTTTCTCTCATACTGCATGCGTGACGCCCACCTCAGATCACCTCAGACCACCACAGATCCTTCTTGATACTTTGTGTTTTGCATTGTGGGGAAGATGATCGGAGCCCTGCTGCTTCTGATACTGCAGCCAGGTAAGGAGAGACTAGTTTTCACTTTACGTTTGAGGACAAATGTTATGTTTTAAATGTATATTGTGCTGTTATAAATACTGTTTGTACATCACCAATCAGGCAGAGGAAAGACACATTTAGTTGCTAAATAAGATAGAAAGGAAATACTTTCATTTTCACAAGGGATGGGGCTGACACCTTCCTCCCTCTCCAGAAGTCTAATTTTAATTACAACCCGACAAACCTTTTTCAGTTTCAGGTTGAGGCAAACCTATGGTCTTCATAGTCATATCCTAAGTTAAAAAATATATTGACTGCATATTTACTGTTGCAGAGCAGCATGTTTCCATTGAATTCTGCACATTTAGCCTAAAGAACATCAATAGAACTAATACTGACACCATGATCTCTCTGCAGGACCTGTGAGTTCTGCTTGGTCAGTGACTTTTGAAAACTCAGATCCTTGTGGTTTAAAGGGATCATCAGTGGAGTTCAGGTGCTCATACAACTACCCAGATGGTGAAAGTGTTACTAACACTACATGGCACAGAGGGGGATTAAAAGATAAACAGTGGAAACGTTTTAAGCTTTCAGAACTTCCTTCATATCAAAATCGTTCTGAATATATTGGAGACCGGCAGCACGACTGTAGCCTGGTAATTCATGACCTGCAGGATAATGACACTGGATTTTACTACTTCAGGTTTGATACGGAGAGCTACGGATGGCATAGTAAAAAATCAGTGTATCTGTCTGTCACAGGTAAAATTATTCTACTTTGAGTGTCACTCTTCAAGTTTAATATTTGTAACTTTTCTTAATATCATGGTCTCAGTTTTCTAACTGATTGATATCTAGAGATGATCAGTGCCAGAGTGAACCCTGACAGAGTCAGAGCCGGAGACACCGTGACTCTTGAATGTGGAACATCCTGTCAACATCCCAGCGTAGTTTGGTTTAAAGATGGACGACCAGTAGCAAAACCAGAGTTCCAGGCTCAGACAGAGGATTCAGGGAACTATGCATGTGCTCTCAAAGGACAGGAGTCAGTGCTATCGGACCCTGTGGCTCTGGATGTTCAGTGTAAGTATGGTTTTTTTTAATGACACTTTTGGTTGAGAAACTGGTATTTCACTGTGTGATGCATGTAAGAAATAATTGGGAAAGCTTAAGATTGTGACCCGCAACATACAGCGTAAATCTTCCCAATTTACAGTGTAATGTTTTTTGTAGTGACAGTGGACCAGTGGGTCCCGATGGGTACATGGGAACAAGGTGTGAAGTCAGGGAATAAAAGATCAATAATGTGAGAACTTAAAAATAATTTATACAGCAAGTATTTTTGAACTAACAGGCGCCAATTCTGTTATTACAGGGTACAGTATGACTCACTGAGCATCAAACCTAGAGAACCTGTTCCCCCCTCTTTCCAGTCTTTGTGCTAAGCTTAGCTAAGTGACTGCTGGTGGTAGCTTTGTGTTTACTGTACAGACATGAGAGTGATATCAGTGTTCACATCTAACTCTGAGCAAGAAAGCGAATAAGGAAATTTACTAAAATGATGTACTGTTTTTAAATATTCTTTGTCAATTAGGGTATTTCTTTGGCTATAAGTGGTGATGATCCTCCATGAATATACATAGTTTTCATTTACAAACAAAAATACAGTTTATAAACCAATGTATACAACAGCGCAGTATTTTTTTTATTTAATTCAGATCCCCCGTTGAATGTGTCTGTTGAGGTGAGTTATGGCAACCTGACAGTGGGCAGCAGTGTGAACCTTACCTGCAACAGTACTGCTAACCCTGCAGCAGACAACTACACCTGGTACAAGAGGACAGCTTCTTCCAGCTCTATGGTTCAGGTGGGCTCAGGACAGGTGATGTCTTTTCCCTCTGTGGAGGCGTCCCACACTGGACTCTATCTCTGCCAGGCCAGGAACCCACTGGGCGTGGACAACTCAGCTGAGGTTCTGCTGACAGTGGACAAAACAGACAGTGAGTATTTTAAGGCAGTTATGACCTGTTCAGGGATTGTGTTGATATGCCATCAATAACTCACCCAATGGGGAATGATAGTTGAAAAGTTGCAAACTAACCTTACTGGAAGGACATTTGGGGTAAGAATTCAAATAAAGCTGGAGTTAGAGCACAAACTGGCTGTTAAATGGTAAATGGTCTGATTTTAGTAACATGGGATTTCAACTACACATCTACAATATAACATATTAATAATAATATATTTGTGGAACATTTCTACATTTGAGATCCTGTCAGTGTAACTTTATTTCTACCTCTGCCTCTACTGATAGTTAACCATTTGATCCTCCTTGTTGGTATTGGAGTCAAAGTCGTCATTGTGCTGTTGCTTACACTGGCCGTTATCTGGGCATGGTAAGTTAAGTTACATTCAACACTGGACATGGTTAATTTGATTATGACTGTCATGAAATGCTGAAGAATTCAATGTACAAACTTCTCTTATATGATTGTTAAAGGAGGCACAGATGTAATTCTACTGTGGACAAAGAGGTAAGAAGACTACAGCTCTGTTTAAATAAAGAAATTACAGTGTCTCGCAAAATATCTAATGTTGCCCTGTTATGTTTCAGGACAACGGCCCTGAATATGAAAACATCAGCCCAGTCTATATGGGTCAAAAAGACAGAAGGAAATGACTCTTTAAAAAAACTAGAGAAGCATGATGACATTTCATGAATTGACACAAGATATCTCTAGTCTGTTACAGAGCTCAACCAAAAAACTGTTACACTTGAGGAGTTTTGACTTCCTGATTCGTCTGTGTAAACGTTCCGTCCTTCTCATGACTCCCTGTAACACCGGAGACACAAGGGTTACGAATTGTAACATTATCATAAACTGAGGCCCAGTAGCTCACCTGGTAGAGCTGGTGTGGCCCTTTGCTGTGTGTCATCTCCTCTGTCTGTCTCTCCTGTCTATCTTCTGCTGTCCTACTATTCTATACTGATGTTTCATCAATGAAATACCCACAACCATGCTGTTACTAAGTTAAGCTATTTTCATCTGTTTTGAATATAGCCCCTCTTCCTATGATTGCAGCAGTGATTATTATTGTCTGTAGTTGCTGGTCTTAAAATATTGTTGCAGAGCATTTTCACTGAAGTGACTGGTTTTCTACTTCAGCAGTCTGAATCAAGAATCACTGTGGTCAAATCAGGATATGCTGCCCTCTTGAGTTAAAAATACTCATTGTTTTTGTAAACTTGTAAATGCTTCAGTCTATCAACTTATCAGTAGTATTTACATTATTAACCTTAACCATAACCTTTTTAAGGTGGAAGGTTTTTTAAGGTTATGATTGAGGTTGGTCTTCCGATTTTATTTAAAATAGATTTTATTTTCAGTTGTAACAGAAACAACATACAACAGCATAGCGTTTATTGGGTCAATGCATTTAAAAAGTTGTTCTACACTGTAAACTCATCAACATGTGCATGACACAGATATACATAGCAGATCTTTGGTTAATATGCTAGACTGGACCTGCTGCATGCAGAAGAACAGCATATCAAACTTGAATTGAAGCTGCAAGCAGCAATGAACAGCCTCTTGCAGTTTGTGTGCGTCAGTGTGTGCTGTGCTCGTGTTATGCGCCAGCATATCATGTCTAGACCACACTGAGAAAAAGTCATGTAAATCAGGTGATGATTGCCATTCAACCCTTACTTCTTGTTGCATTTGCAGTGGTCGCTCTATGGTCCCAAATAAATGCTGGCTGCTGTAACAACTGTATAGATTATTGTTGTTGTATGACGCATATTGTGACGCCCTCTTGTTTATCATCACACTGATTATTTTTCTATTGTTAAGATGTTTTGCTAAGCAATAAACTCTGTCTTGTTTCCAAGGCATGTTTCAAGTGTTGGAAAATACAAAAACATATCACATATTTTGTTAATCTTGGTATCGCTTTGCCATATACAATACATTTAGAACAAATCTCAGATGACATAAACTGTAGCTTACAAAAGTTTGTGAAATTTGAAGCTCAGTATGCATAATGGAAATCAGCAGCGTTCCAATATGGCCACGACTAATTGCCTGTATTTCCCATTACAACATCTTAAAAAATTTAAAAATGTACAGTAAATGGAACAGAACAGAAACAGCTCTTAAGGTAATGTGCGCATACGCGAAACTGAGCACGCCCTTTATATTTTTAAGGACCAGTGTGTAGGATTTATTTAGTTTATTTAGTTGCACCTAGCAGTGAAGTTGCAGATTGCAACCATTTGAATACAGCTCAGCCTTTCAAGAGTGTAGGAGAAACTACGGTGGCTGAAAAACTCATGAAAAACACAAATGGCCCTGTCTACAGCCAATGTTTGGGCTACTGTAGAAACATGGTGGTTCAACATGGCTGACTCCACAGAAGAGGACCCGCTCCCTCTGTAGATAAAACCTCTCAGTCTAAGGAAACAAAAACACAATCATTCTTATTTTCAGGTTATTATACGCTAATGAATACATACCTATAGATATTATATTCCATTACTGCCAATAGAGCTTCCTAAATTTTACACACTGGACCTTTAATCAGCATTTAAAAATAGAAGATGTGTGCACCACTTTACTCAACTATTCTCACTTTAATACAATAGATAAAGCTAAATTCTAAAAATAGACTAATGAGATGAATATCCAAGTGCATTTTGTAAATCAGTGCCCTTGTTACAGAGTCACTGTCCTCTTGGTTTTCATCCTCCTCCACTTCTCCACAGGCTCTGTTCTGTATCTGTTAGAGTCTTATCACACTGAAGAGTTTACTCAAAACCACACAGATGTGACCAAGTCCTGACTGCTGACAGCTTTTAATTGGATCATTATTACTGTTTTTTTTCTTCAGTGTTGTCTGTCTTTGGACATTGCTTATACAGTATGTGGGGCACTTTACAATGTGCTGTTAAAATCCAGCATTGGTATCAGTGCTAACAACAACTCCAGATGTCACTGTGGTCGTCATATGTGATGAACCGTGGAGGGTGTATTCAAATTCACATCCGCCACTGCAACAGCTCAACTGGCAAGTACAAAGTAGAGGGTTAATTCCTGACTGCATTATCCCACAGCACAACAGCACTTAAACAAATAGAATAAAGATATACCCACACGTTTGCTTCACTTCACAACGTCAATTTTAAAATCAAGCAGTTCTCTTAAAGCCCAAGCCAGCCAAGTTTATCCTCATTCAGCTCAGTGCATAGAAATCTAGGAGGGTTTTCAGTGTTGTGTCCTGGTGGCTTGGATGTACAGTAATGTCTGTCACATGATCTTCAGGTTCTCACAGCGCTGCTGTCATCAGTCTTGGAAAAGTTCTTCTTCTGTGTACGTGATTTCAGTCATTAAGCAAAATGTCTACAAAATGTGCTACAGCATGTGATGCAATACTAGTTTTGGGTGGCAACATGATGTGTGAAGGTAAATGCACAAGTGTATTTTGGGTATCTTTGGTGGTTGTAGGGTGTTTGTACTTTGTGCGGAATAAGGTAGGTCTTAAGGTGCTGTAGCAGTTGTCTCGGTGAGGACATACGACCGGTGTCTGGATGTCTTCCGTCTCCTGAAAGGACAAATAATTAATAAAAAAATACTGACATTTCATTCATTACAGTGAATGCATGCTGTTATAAATGATGCTTCAGGTAGTGTAGGACACAGTAGCATTTCTTATTAGACTGTGTGTAACGTACTGGATTAAATTATTTTACTTATATTGTCCACCAATCTAATAATAATAACTAAATAAAAACGTATCCTGATACAGATCAGCTGTAAGAGAAGCAAAGAACTCACCTTGTAACAAGACAGGCCACTAAGGCGACAATAGCCAGTAGAATACCAATGGTCACCCCGATAAACACCAGTCTGCTTCCTGAAGAGTCAGACGGGGTTGTTGCTGTAGTGGACAGAAGCAGGATGAGAACTTACTGTTGGTCAAACTATGTCAGACAGTAGTTCTTTATACAAGTGAATGGCTGCTGTGGACCTGCTTCATTTGATTGCAGTTCGCTCATTTAAAATTAAAACAATGTGATTTGTGTTTTAGGAAAAATATTTGAACTTAATATTGACTGGACAACTTCATGGGTATTTATGTTGCAATGATAGAGATCAGGATAAGTAGGTTGTCAAATCAAGTTGCTTGTAAAACACAATGTTTAGCCTCACAACCTTGAACTGTAGTGGGTGTAGTAGCTCTGGTGGCAGTGAGTCAGCCATTAACTGCACAACTGGTGGTTCAATCTCCTCCCATCCACATATCAAAATGTGTCAAAAAGACATTAAACCACAAATTGCTCACCATTTATACATGGGGGAGAAAATATATTCATTTTGCACAAATTTAAGTAATAATATAAAAATAATAATCTAAATCTTAGATTTTTGTGAATTCAACCCGTTGTTTTTTAATACCCTGGTGGCCGAACAGATAAATAATTTTGCTTAGCTAAGGGTAAGGTTGTTTCAGATTTATTTGTGAAAGAAAAGTCACTGTCACAGATCATTGTGTACAGTATTTATGAGTCACCCCTATCATGCCTAGCTTTTTTAATTAGTTAGTTAATATGTTTTGTACTAATATTTGCTAATTTACTCAAAACCCTGCAAACACTGAATATTTGGTGTTACTCTGGGTTTTCTGCAGGAACACGGTTGCCACTGAAAACTGCAAAACTCACTTCTGTGAATGACAAGCTCTTCATTAACCTACCTTTAGAGCTTCTGAGTGTTACAATGTTAGTCTGTGATCCATGTCTGTTGCGTGCCACACAGCAGTGCAGCCCATATTCCTCAGCGGTGATGTTGGCACTGCTGAATGTCGAGACTCTTCCTGTGGGTGTGGCCAGGGCTCGTCTGCCTGGATGAAAGGTTTGGTCTGATGTAGAGAAACACGCTTCTCCCTGGTACCAGGTGTATGTGAGGACAGGTGGGTTAGCATCGCTGCTGCAGGTCAGAGTCACAGGAAGACTGTCCTGTAGCTCTCCAGCAGGAGAGACTAAGATCAGTGTGTTTTGAGGAGAGTCTAAACAAGAACAAGATGAAAGGTCAGTTACCCCTGGCTTCAAGTCACATGAGATGTTGAAACATTGACTGCTTTTAACCCAGTTATCAAACCAAATTTTAACCCAGGTATCAAACCAAATTGTAACCAAGTTATTAAAACAAATTTTAACCCAGTTATTAAAACTAATTTTAACCCAGTTATCAAACCTTACGGGGGAAGTTTCTTAAGAATTTCTCAAGAACAGAGAATTTACTTGTGAAATGCTGTCAGCAGCACCTTACTTGTTATGTTAATGTTAAAGTCAAAGGCAAACTTTCTTAAATGTACTTCCTTCTTTACTTCTGCTTTTTTGGTTACATGTATGACAGAACAATTTGATGATGAGATGAATAAATGGATAAATAAAGCAATGACTTTGTAGGTGTCTGTTTATCCTCTCTTATATATTTCTGTATATTCACACACAGTATACAGGATCAAACTTTACTTACACTCTACATCAATGGGCAACATTGTAGAGTTCTGCACTTTATCTCCAGTCTGTATCTGACAGTAGTAGCTGCCAGAGTCATCAGACGTAACCTCACTGACGTCCCACACCTGTCCAGTGTGTCGTGGGCTGGTGCTCGTGCTCTTGAACCATCTGAAACGGGCCTGTGGACCGGCCGCAGGGCTGCAGCAGGCCAGACGTAATGCCTCGCCCTCAGTGACGTCACTGGAGCGACTTGCTGACACTGTGACTGCGCTGGATGCATCTGCAGGAAAAAGAGTTAAGACACAGGTGGTTATTGTACTTACTGTAATCCCTGGGTGTATGTTAGCAGCACATACTACTTGCTTGACTAACAATTGTATGGCACACTCTTTTAAAGATTATCTTATCATTTTGGATATTTTACCCTGTATCATTTCTTCAACTGTTACATGGTTTTAAAAACAGCTGTTTTGCAGTTGTTGTTTTGTTTATCTTACAGGTTGCCAGTACTCAAAGGGCTTTTGTGAATCCCGAATGATGACACAGCATGGCAACAAAGAGGAAAAACAAGAAAACAACAAGACTTCATCCAGACATTTCTCAATAATGTCTTTAGACTCGCCTTGTGGTTGGACACCAACACCTACACACACAAAATTAGATTTCTTGTCAACACGCTCTAATACCTTTAATGGCTCTAAATCGCCTTTTTAAAACTTGCCAGCAAAGACAAGTTACAGTTTGTCCTCACATGTTTGAGTTTGATTTAGCTCCAACCAGCAGTGGACATTATGGAACTGATTGTAATGTCAAGTTGAGTTTATAGTTGGTCTATATACAGACAGTGATCGGTTTCAGTTCTGCTTCTCACAAATAGCCCAATGTGTCAAACAGATTGTTGTTTAAAGGAAGTGGTGGATACTTAAAACATCAACGCTTGTAATTACAGTGAAGTTAACAAATATTCTAGCTTGTTCAACATATATTACTAAACACAGCATTCAGTACTGTTATTGCAGGCAGACAGGCATGGAGCAATAGACAGCCAGTAAGTGAGACACAAGGACGGACAAAAACAGTCACAACATAGAGGAAGGAAAAATAAACAAAGATTTTGTGGTTGTCCACTGTAGTTCAAACTGTCGCGTTCTTCTTCATATTGAATTTTAGTTTAATCACGTAACTGTTGTTGCCATTTCAAATTCCAGCTTCATGTTTCTACTTTCTTAATAATTCTACAAATGATAAACTACAGATTGATCACTATGTTGATGATGCTTTGCTAAAGAGGACAGTCCTTGTTATGATGATGGTGATGAGTATTAGTAGTAGTAGGCCTATTAGTTGTAAATGAAAAGTTCCCACCTGCTACCAGCAGCTGTATACCTCTCTGCTCTGGCATCTTCTGCGTAGGGTGGCTGGTGATGAGGTAAAACACGTATGCTCCACTGTCGGACTGTTTCACATCAGATATCCTCAGAGAACAGTTTTTTGTTCCTGGTTGACCCAGGTACTCCACCCTGTTCTGGTAGGATGGATCTGGGAAGATACCGTCACTGTGGAAGACATATCTGAGACGGACAGACACACAGACTTAGATACTTTGTTAAACCCTGTGCTGTGAGTTCTTTGCTAAAATGAATCGCAGGTCTGGTCTTGTGTGTGTGCGTGTCTCAAACAATACCTTGGTGTGATACAGCGGCTGTCTTCAAGACACCACATCTCAGACAAAACTCTGTACTGTTGTCCTCTGCCCTAATAGAAACAAATATACAGAGTTGCTAAAGATACAAAACAAAGAGCTTTTGAAGTACTGTGATATATGAGATGCTGTGTTTATGTTAACATGGCTCTAGGTCTGTAGTCTAAACCACTCCCAAAACTTAAATTGCAAGCTTAAAATAGTTTAACTCAGTTACCCTTAATCAACCCCCATGTAGCTGCTCGTTTCTGTTCATTGTGATTACGGATTTTAGCCCTGGCAGAGGAAGACACACTGCGGGATATACTGCAACTGCTAACAATGCCTTCTTTATTGAATTACCTGAGCAGAAAGCTGCCCCTCTTCCCTGGTTTCATTAGAACTTTGGGGGTAGTCATAGGAACAAGGGAGAACCACAGAGGAACCAATCACAGCACAGATAGGACTGGAGGGGAGATGAACTGACCAATCACCAGCAAGAATACCTGAAGAGCAGAGGACGTGTATTAAAATCTATATACAATGGTTCAAATATAACAACTGGCTATAACCACAAGTTACATTAAAAAGGTGGAAACTGTCTTCAAGAATGAATTGATTTTACAGATAAAGGTAGAATAACTCACAGTTGCAATACGCTGTAAGAAAAACTTTAATACGTTATGAATGAATGATAATAGATGTTTATCTCATGAAGTTACTGTATTAGTGTCTAACCTATTGTCAGTATTAAAAAACATTACCCAGAGAGCTACTGTTACAATTATCTACAGTGTATTTATTGTATTTACCAGATGTTTATTTTTTTAATACTTAAAATGTGTCTTCTCAAAGAGACTGTACTTTAATGCTTTCCCCAGGTAATGTTTGCCCTTCAGTGGGAGAAATGTTACTCCTTACCCCAGAATTTTCTCAAAATTTTTGTGGCAGCGGCTTAGTGAAGATGTAGCCTACATTTAGCCACTGAAATAATCCTTTAAGCGGTTGTGATCACCTCAGTGATTTCTATAACGTCACTCTAAGAATGAAGCTCAACACTTGAAATAAATTCTGTTCAGTCAGTGTGACGGATAGATGATGGCATGAGCTGATCTTCACAGTGTTAATGTGTATGTCAGCATGAAATCATGAATGCTGCCTGTACTTTCAGCTCTTACCTTTCAGAGAGAGTGTGAGCAGCAGCCAGCAGCTCCGTGCAGCTCCTCCACCCATCTTCATCCTTTCCTTATGTGGCTGTTTGCTTGCTTTGTTGTGGTCAGACCTCTCTCTCCTCTCCCGGGATCCTCGTCTAGTCTACCCTCTTCTGCTCTCTAGTTAAGTCAGTGTCTCCCACAACAAACACTGACAGATCAGATGGCCCAGCTTCCCCTTTTTATTTGTTTCTGCCAACAAGGAACTAAGGTGATGATTGTGTCAGCAAAGGGAACTACAATATGTCTAGGCCTGTATGTGATTTCTGACTCAGCTGTGCAGATAGGGAGATGAGACATCACAAGAACTGAGAGTAATATACCAAAACCACAGCAGACATCTTTCAATCAGTTTTATTATGACAGTCCCCGCCTGTAGGACAGTGTGTTCACCTGGAGCAGGTATACAGGGGTCAGACAGCCAGTACAAGAGCTCTCGTGCCCAGTGTGTCCACTCAGGGACGTGCTGTTGACGTCACTGGTGCCCCTCTTGTCTGCGCAGCTGAGCGCTCACAGGACGACCACACAGCCCGACGGACTGCGGATAAACTTACACTAACTTTGTTTCAATTAGTCCAGTCTTCCAAATGTTTGTCTCCTTTCTGTTAGGAGCCGGTGCCGGGGGTTTTGGCTGATAGAAAACGGTCGCTGAAAACTGTTTTTGGTCCTTCTTTCTTTGGGGTCAGTAACCTGTGAACACAGCAGAAAAAAAAAAAGAGAAAAAAAAGGATTTACTGAAAACTGGGATTTATCTGTGGTGGCGTTTGAACTGTATTGTGGCCTGCCTTCGAGGCTTTTTTTAATCTTTCAAAGCGGACTTAAAATATAAGACTATATTAATCTGTAAAGGAGGAGGCCAGGGCTCCACCTGCTGCAAGAAAGGACGGGTGAGTCACTTTGTGGAAGGCGACTTCATTTCATCCCTGCGGTTTTATGCTAACTCTGAAAACTAGTAGCTAGTAGCTTCATTTTGGTGTCATTTAAAACTTTATTATAAACTTTACTACTAAAAGTTAAAATAAAATAAGATAGACCACTTGGATAATTTTAATAATTTTAACAGAATGTGAACTTCTTTTTAATGCTCTTTGTTCTGTTTAACCATGTCTGCCCCCAGACCTCTGCTATACAGACCCTAACTCTCTAACACAATGCTAAAGTGATTCACATATCATAACACTTTTATATGCTTTTTAAACATTGTTCTAAATAGTTTTGTATAAGAGATGCATTTAAAATAACTCACTAAGCTGAAGGTACAGTCAGCCTACTCCCTATAATAATGCCTTTGTGCTCCCATATGAGTCCATGTTTGCAGTCATTACTGTAACTGGTTTAACCTTTGGTGATGAAGACAAAAGTCTAATATATTTAGTGGCATAAGAAGCTCGTACACATGGAAAATTAAGGTACACATATCAGGAAAAGCAACCCAGTTAGTACACAGAGTAATTTATTTTATAGAGTTCATGCATTTGTATCATTTGTTTTGTCATTGTCAGTTTTACATCTTAGAAATAATCAGTTACATAATGAGATGATTTTAGCTGACTTGGCTGTTAGGAGGGGAGGGGTGAGTCTTGAGTGTATATGTGCTGTATATATATGTGTGTGTGTGTGTGTGAGAGTGAATTAACTCAACACAAAGACTGAAACATGTGATGTAACATACCTGTACTTATATAAATAAAAAAAATATAAGCAATATTGTTAGTTATTAATTCAATTCAATTCCATTCAAATTTATTTGTATAGCACCAAATCATATCAGAAGTTATCCCAGGACACTTTCCAAATAGAGCAGGTCTAGACCATACTTGTGGCAAACTAGTTAGTCCTGTCACCTTATATGTTAGATGTTTTTTAAACTTAAAGGCAGAATGAGTAGGATTTCAGGTTGTAAACACAACAACAAAGTGGGCTCCTCCTCCCCGGCTCAACGTGCCCTGTGTCCGCCATCTTTGTAGCTCCATCTTGGATGCATGCTTGAAATTTGGCTGGGGGCTACATACTCGCTGCCAAAAGGTTGACGCCCAGAAATGTCCAGAACACAGCATAATAAGAAAATAAAGGCAGAGGGCAGGGTTTCTGCTGATACAGACACCACCACTCACATCTAGTGGGTCATAAGTGATGATTGATTATTTTTGTATTTTTTTTAGGAAAATCCTACTCATTCTGCATTAAATCTCAAATATGTCTCTCTGTCAAACTCTCTTTGACAAATGTTGCCAAAAATATGGTGTTTGTTTTCACTGTTATATTACCAGGCAAAGGTGACTGCCAAGGGCTTAGACCACCTGCCCTGAGGAGTCAAGGAGAGAAGGAAGGAAGAAAGGAAGGAAAGGAGAAAGAACATTGTCTGTTGTTGACCTCTGCTTCCTACTGTATACAGATGTATGCTGAGAAAGTTGAGGGGAAGATGGGTGAGTGCACATATTGCATACACTGTTGTTCTTATTCTCCCCACCCCTCCCTCCGCCCACACACACACACACACACACACACACAGATTAAAATGCTGTGCTGGACAGGCTGTAGTTCATGTTGCCTGTTTTCTGTATTTGGGAGCAGACATCAGTCCACTTGACAGTTAACCATTAACTGTTTGTTCAAAGCTGGCTGGCTGTCTCTCTTATGTTCACTGGATTTATTTTTGAGGTTTGGCTCTCAACTTGGTAAACACATACCTAGATTGGTAGTAATATTTTTCATCCAGTAAGATTAAGTCCTATCTCAAATAGAAATGTAATAGTGATGTTGATTACTGGGGTCAGAAATAACCACCGCCCTCTACACCAGATTACACTTTACAGCACTTTATATTTATGCAATAACATCACACTCTCCTGGTGGTCATAAACAAACAGACTCATTATAACTATGGCACTGTCAATATAAAGCTCTCCTACCTTATTCCAGCAGACACTCTCTCATCAACATTAGTGAAGCCCACATTTAAAGGGAAACTGGAGAATCCACATCTGTCCTCCTGTCACTGTAGCTGTAAGGCAGTGTCAAGGTTTTATGGCTCTTAATGAGTTCACTGCAGTATAAGTATATAATTGTGTTATGGGAGTAAAGATAAGATAGCATTCCTGTCAGTGTGTACTGAAAGACCCTGTGTTTCCGATGTGGCTGTGTTGACCTTACATTTTCCTGTGGTATCTTGAAAGCCTGCAGCTACCGTTTGGACTGAAAACTTCTTACAACAATTAAAATCTTCAAACTTTATAGAGACAATAAATTTACCCTTTCTTTTACCCCACGACCCCTTCTAGACAACTTACCTTCCACTGCAGGGACAAAGCAAGTGCCAGTAAAAAGAAGCCAATAGTCTCCCAGTATGTGACGTCTTTAGTTTAAAACTGACATCATCTTCGCATCTTCCGCTGCTCTCTTCAACAGGTCTTCTTGGTCATTGTGCTCTTACCTTCTGTATGAACATGGTCCGCTTACTTTTGTACTTTCTGTTGCCTGACTGAAGGGAGTCCACCCAGATGCAATGAATCAGGCTGTGTCTTTGGTGTAATTACAAGAGAAACACAGTCTAGCCTAGGAGTGGCACATGTGGTGTGGTTTTTTTGAGTACGGCTGTGCTTAGATTAGGTGGGACGTCATCTATTATCAGTAACAAGCAGTGTTTACCTTAAACGTGACATGCTTATATACAATACGTGTGTGGACAAGCAGAGAAACACAGTTCACACGCGACCATTTCTGTCACACGGGGCAGGGTATCTTTCATATTGGGCTGATTGTGTTTATTATTACGTTTCCACCATGACAACCACTACAAGTATGAGTCATAGCTTCTGCTGGGTCTTCATCTGTGTGCCTGTGAGGTCTCCTCCTGCTTCTGGACTGTTGTCTTTGCCTCATCCCACTCCTACCACACCTAGGTTCACTTCAGTCTACTGAGGAAGGATATATTATTCGAAAGCCCTTAAACCTCTTTTCCTATTTAATTTGGAATGGATGTATGTTGAATTAAGCTCAGTCTTGTTTTCGATGGCACCAGATATATACCAGTGTGATCTTCCTGTTTTGAAAGTAGTTTTGTTTCCCATAGTCCATATGTAAGTGCCTCTAATGCCACTAAGAGAACAAAGGATAATACTGTAGATGCTGACTATGCAGTCAGCTAGTAAGCTAGTACATGAACCTTGAGCTGGGATTATTTTGTCAAACTACTATTTTAAAGGTCAAGAATGGACTTTAATACTTAACTTTAAGCCAAGAGAGACAAGAAGTCATAAAAGTGATACTGAAGATATAAGAGCTAATGAGCTTACATGTCAGATCCAAGCTCCATGACAACAGAGCAAACTTTATCTGGTGATGAAGACTGTGTGAGACAGTTGGACGCCCTGGAAGAAAATAGTAAAATTATCTTTGACTCGGGATTGTTCTTTCAAATCAACCTATAACACTCTCAGAAAGAAGAGTTCCAGACCTTGTATGACTTCTCAGAAAACATTTTCTGTTCATAATTCTTTGGCAAGGTTAAGTTACAGTATATCGATAACACTTTAAGAAAGATTAGTAGATATTATCCTGTTTGGAAAGATCCTTCAGACAATTTGCTACAAGTCTTTAATTTCAAATGAACTATCATTTAGTAGAAAACGACAAAAAGAAACCTTTTCCTGAATACAGAATGTGTTGTCTGTGCATTTCCGAGAGTTTTGGGAGGGCGTGGACAGCCCCTTGTCCAATGTGGTACACATCTGTTGCCCTTTACTCAACCGTGAGGTATTACAGTGGGAGGGCGTAATGTGTGCAAATTTAAGGGTATCCCTCCTGACTACCCTGAGAATGAGTAATGACACAGTGAAGCTTTTCCATCATGCTGCTTCGGTGTCTGGTCATGTGACTCATGGATGAGGATAGAAATAACCCAAAATAAAATGTATGTTATGTTCAGTAAATGATGATTCATTCTTACCTCTCATGTCAGCCTTTACCACAGTGGCAACGATCTATAAAGTCAGAATGTAGCTGGATAGTTAATAATATTCCTTATGTACAACAACAGTGATACATCAAGACACTTTTATTTGTTGAGTGCTACTTTTTGTTAAACATCAATTAATCTTAAGTGAGTTTGTAGTTTACAAACTCAGACAACAGTATTGTGACAGTGTCCTAGAGAAACTTTTGTTTTTTATATAATTAAATATACTTTAAACTTCAAATTTCACAACTCAGCCTTGCTGAGGAGAACTCTGAATCTTTGAACAGAACGCAAAACGTTACGCAGTGTTTGCATTATTGTAATACAAGATATACAACATCTGAACTGCATTCACAATTGTCCAACCTTCACTATTGCAGTGTACTAGTCAGCACATAATACCACAGTGATTTCAGAAGAGCCCTTCCTCACAACACACACATGCAGAGAGACACACACACATGCAGAGACACACACACACACACAGGAGAAGGTGGTCTCAGGTAGAAGTGGACACAATAGAGTGCTTGTTCTGTCTTGCAGTGTGTTTGGGAGAAGAGAGCAGCGAAAAAAGAAGAAGAAAGGAGTTGGAAACTAGGGGGGTGGGCAGAACCAGTTTTGGTGCTGGAGTTGAGGTGTGTGGAACAAATTTTGGGGTATTTCCTGGAAACTACAATCTGAATGAATGAACGCGAGCCTGGAATGTCCCTCTGATAAATTATGTCCTGTGGCATCAATCGGATACTCCTTCTTGTTTCACACTTAAACCTTTTTCATCACCAATTTTACAACTCAAGGAACAATAACACCATTATCATGCTGACTGGAGGGTTGGAGGGGAAGCCTGAGGAAGGGAGGGAGAAGAGAGGCACAAAGAGGGGAAGACAGGAAGGAAAGAGATGGGTACGGAGGGAGCCAAGGAAAGGTAGGGAGGGAAGTGCAGTCAAGGTGCAGGTAGAGTGGGTCAGGGAGAGGCTGTAGTGTAGAGGGAGGGAGCAGTTGTGAGGAGATAGCTGAGAAGGAGGTCACTGGATTAGCAGGTCTACACAGCTATCACCTTTCATGACAACAACGTAGAAATCCGGCAGCTGTGGGACCAAGTTGTTCAGAACAATACTGGTTCCTTGTCATTCCTTGAGTTGTTTTACTTACATCAAGACACAAGACTCAAGTTGACACATAAGTTTAGGAAAATGACTTTAAGTTGGTAACTGTGCAGGAACGGTTCTGGTTCTGCAGCCCGTTAATGTCCAAAGAAAACATTTAAAACTTTACTAACTGATAATGGGTCCTATCCTCAAGAAGCACAAACCACTTTCCCTGTAAACATTTACATTTGGTAAATCTATTGTTAATTATCAAAACATTGTAATGGAATTGTTTTTAATTGTGATAACTTTGTGAGAGAGCTAGAGATGTGAAAGAGTAGGGAACATGTCGGAGTGAGACAGTAGTAGGAAGGAAACATGGCATGTAGAATGTTTTCTCTGATTCGATAGGAAACTCATATGGTACTTACAGCATCTGCAGTTGTTTCCTGGCACACTGATGGAAAGTATTACTATTAGAGTCTTGGCTGTCTCATGCAATATCTATGTAATAACTTAACACACAGGCTTTCAATATCCAATGTTAATACACTTGATTTAGGGTTACATCAGCCCTTTCAGCATGGACACCTTGTTTATTCCTTCATCTCTCACTATTGGTAATGAGTAATAAAATAATTTTCATATTTAATAGAAATGACAGATACTTGAGTCTACTTTAAAAGTCACTCCTATACCTTATTCTCACCACAGAAAGTGTCCCAAGTTCAGTTTGTCACTCAAGCAGTCTTTTTTACAGCCGACATTTTGACATGTTGTGGCTGAAAACACACGGGTGTAATTCACAATATAATGATTGCTGCATTAGGGCTCTATCATTGTGCATCGTGATCATTGCCATGACTTTAATGTAGTCAGAAACACCTGCTTCTCTGGCCAAGTCAAATGGGTGTTTTGTTGACCATTGATAGAAGGAAGAAAAATTTACATTTTAAAGGCTCTAAACAGGTGTAAATACTACAATTTATTCTGTATTCTGGTTCACTCTTACACTGCCCTAGGTCACTGGGACACTTGGGGAAACAGACTTGTCATAGTAGGAACAGCACATGTGGAACTAAAAAAGATAAATTATGGCTCTGTACCATCACAAGTGTCCTAGTAAGCCATGACAGTGACGACCAGGATCCTGGACCTGGCACAGCTGAATGGATTTATTATTGTTAATAATTACACCTGCGTTTTTTCATTCTATTGTATGTCTATAATGAAACGTGTATTAACCTTAAGCCGTGGGTCAAGCTGACAACTTATCCTCAGAGCAGAGGATAACATGGGCAGGAGCACACACATACTGTATGTGCACGCGGTACAGACATGGCACCATATCCTAGCTTAAGAGTTTGTTCTTGCTTTGTGGAGAAATGCTAGACTTTAGACTATTGATCTAATCAGTGTCATTTGTACTTTTTAGTCTTTGCCAGGAAATGTGCTGTATGCCCGTTCACATAGGGACAGTGAGCTGAAACTGGTTATTGTGCTGATGTTTATTGTAGGGTAGGGTGTAGTCCAAAAAAAGAGCCCAAATTAAATACTAGGAGTCTGAACTATTGCCATGTATCATTTTCTTAGGTATTGGCATATATATATATATTTACATATATATATATATACACACACATATACACACAACGCAGTTAACTTTAGTTCACTGTGTGTGTTATATTTACTCTTTTGTCTTCAGCCACCTGTGTGTAGTGGGAATATTGTAATATGTAACTACGTAATGTTAAAGGCTTGAGTTATGCATTCATGTGTGTGTCTCTCTGTGTACATATATATCTCACTGTCAGTCATGTATGTGTGTGTGTGTGTGTGTCTGCAGGGAGCAGGGGAATCTCTCTGACCTGTGTGTTGACCCCCTGCCGTGTGATTGGAGTGTGTGTGATGCTGATGACCTTGGGAGCCATTGGAGCAGCCGTCTGGGCCGTAGGTCAGACCACATGCTTTCACACATTGAAACACACATTCTTGTCAAACATATGATGAGTGTAATCTGTTTTTGATTTCACGTTTATATTTAATAGTTCTCATTATCAAAGATATTTCATTATATGGTATCATACATTGCATTGACTTAACAAATGCCTGCTGTTTTTTATTACCTTTCTATAGTTACGTATTGCACAATGGAGGAAGACACAGGACTGTATGATGGTGAGTAAGAGAGGACAGGTGATGCTTTCAAATTCATAGATTTCTAATAATTAGTCTTATACGAGATGTCACAGTACAGTAAGGACGAATTACATATGTTTTTGACTGCCAAGGAGGATATTGTATATTTTTGTTTCTGTGTTAGCTGCAACCAAAAAAAACATTTGATGCTATTGTACCCAGCTAAAAGTAACCCCATTATCATTCCCTGCAGTCCAGGTAAATTCTGCTGACCAACATCTCAGAGTCTTTGACTCCGCCCAGAGGAGGTGGCGTCAGGTGTGTTCCTCCTCAGCCAATGAGCTGCTAGCTAGCATCAGCTGTGAGGAAGTGGGGTTTGTCAGGTGAGATATTTTTACAATTACATGGTTTCCTTGCTGCATGGTATGATAAAGGACTAAAGTGTATGCGCTTTTGTTGTAGTGTGGTGAATTACTCAGTCACATCAGTGCCAGAGGCCAGTGGAGATGGCGGGGAGTTTTTCTGTGTCAGACAGGAAGAGCTCAGCTTCGGCAAGAAAATCAAAGACTCATTGTTCCCATGGTAACAAACACCTGTCTCATAGCAGTCTAACCTTCTACTACACTGTCCTCTCTGTTGCTCATCCTGCCTTTTCTTTCACCTGTCTACTCGGTTAACATAGAGAAAGCTGAACAGTAACTTAGTTTGGATGTTTTCTTTTTTTCTGTCAGGCTGTTACTAACTCTGTTTGTCTTTGTTGCAGTGACTGTGAGAGCAGGGAGGTTCTCACACTGTTGTGCCAAGGTGAGATCTGCACTCATTCTGTGTGACACACTGGCACACTTTATACTCTGATATCTTACACCCACCTCTCATCTTTTTCCACATGCTCCCATCCACCATCTTACTCTGTCGTAGGGCTGCAACTAACAATGAACAATTATTCAATTATTAAATAATCTGTTTAATTATTTTGTTGATTAATTTGTTGTTGAGTCCATAAAATGTCATAAAATGGTGAAAAATGTTGAAAGCCCTCAAATTTGTTCACAACACAAAGATATTCAGTTTACTGTCACAGAGGACTAAAGAAACCAGAAAATATTCACAGAAACTAAACATTTTCGAAATATTTTCTGAAAAAATGACTCAAAATGATTAATCAATTGTCAAAATAGCTGGTGAGTAATTTAATAGTATTTAATAATTGTGATAATTGTTGCAGCTCTGCTCTGATGTTTTGTTCCTCTTTACAGTATGTCTGTTATTATTTATTTCATTCTTTATGCTAATCTCACCTTCACTTACTCTCATTCTTCAGTCTTTGCTCTGGTTCTCCTGTCTACATATGTTTAAGTCTTTCACCTACAGTTTACCCAGACAGTAAACTTATTTTTGTCTCCCTCTTTGTCACTCTCTCTACTCGGCAGACTGTGGCAGGCGTAGTTTTGCAGCAGACCGTATAGTTGGTGGTGTGGATGCCCGGCAGGGCAGTTGGCCTTGGCAGGTCAGCTTACAGTATGATGGAGTTCATCAGTGTGGAGGATCCATCATCTCAAACCGATGGATTGTCTCAGCAGCTCACTGCTTCCCTGAGTAAGTAAACGAGCCTGAATTCATACAGAAATTACTGTATATTGTCAGTACTGGTAAAACTCACGTGAGACATCATCGCTTCTTCTTCTTTCACTTTTTCCCTGTAGGCGGTATCGCTTTGTTAATCGCTGGCGTGTGCTGCTGGGCTCCATCTATAATAAACCAGTCAACGCCAATGTGGCAGAGGTGAAGACCATCGTTTACCACAGCAGCTACCTGCCCTTTGTAGATGCTAACATTGATGACAACAGCAGGGACATCGCTGTTCTGGCCCTCACCCAGCCCATCGTTTTCAATGGTAGGACACACAAGAGCGCACACATTCATCTTCACACACTCCCCTACACACTCTAGTATTTGATTGCATGGTGACAGTGATTAGAGATGAGGAAGAATGGCAAAGAAACAGAGAGAGTCAAAGAGACACAGAGTCAGTCATTGTGGTAAATTTGCCTGCTTTAGGTTTCCTGTTTCCCAAATTTGAGTCAGCAGGACAAAAGTTCTTTTATTCAACATAATAATATCGGCATTGAACAGGATATAACTACCAATTCCTCTTGTGTCTGATGCTCTCGTTCTGTCCTGGTATCAATGACTCCTTTAGTAAAATATCCACACTTTCATAATGAGTAAGAGTCATCTGTCTTTGTGTATCTGTGATACTGCAATCTGTTGAGGCATGCAAAAGGATGATTGGAGGTTGTGGTTTATGCTGGTATTATAGGTTAGGAGAGAGACAGAGGTTAGCATTGTGTTAACAGTGTATGTCACTAAAAAATAACTAAATATAACTAAATCAGCATATTTAGTGGGTTGTAAGCAAATATTTTGAGGAAATTACAAATATCTAAATGCAAATACTTTATTAACATTATTTGACCTGCAGAAATATGGATGTAGAGGGACAAGGCAGTGGCTAAAGTTTCTGAAATGTAAATAAAACCTGATTTACAGTCACACGTAGTGATGAATTGTTGACTCACTGATGTTTATTAACAGCATGTCATATTATGCAGTAAAATAAACTTGTAGTAGCAATGTTTCAGGAGGTCATGTCTGACATCTAGTGTTTGACATTCATAATTACAACCACTGCATATAACATACGGAAAGGACAGGTTTAGGTTAAATGGCTCTCTGTAAAGTGTCCTTCATGGATGATACGTTACCTGTATTGTGCCACTCACTTGTTTCATATATATTGTGTTCATTAATTCACCCTTAGACAGCGTAGCCCAATGAGAATAGTTTTATCCTGTATACTGTTAACAATTAAATCAAAGCTATAGCATATTATAATCAGGAGTGAGAACAAGACAGGAGCTAAATAAAAAATTGGACTAAAGCTTAATTTCATTATTACTGTATACAGGTCTGTCTTGCTCCAGGCATTAATATACAATGTTTGGATATGAAAGGCTGAAACTCATTTATCTTCATTGTTACTTATTATTATTGCAGCATGCAAATGTGGCTTCTTCTGCATTTTAGTACGAGTAAACCTTTGATGACACTGTGTATGTGTGTGTTTCATGGTGAAATATTATTATGTAAATGTGTTTACTTATGTCTTGATGTGGTTGTGTGTAGAATACATCCAGCCTATTTGCCTGCCAGCATACGGTCAAAGACTGATAGACGGGCAGATGGGAACAGTAACAGGCTGGGGAAATGTAGGATACTATGGTGAGTCTATGTATCATTACAGCTGTAACGTAATACAATGCATAAAATTACGTGTTGGATGACATTATTTGCATTGCAGCCCATCCTCTTTTCTCATTTCTGTAGCTATTTTTTGTAAACCTATCAATGTGCTAATATAACAAACACCAGTGTACACTTTGATCTACATACATACATACATGTCTGTTGCAATATTTAAAAGGACAGAAAGGACAATTGATACATCTCGGAAACATAAATGCTCCTTTTTAGCTAAACCCCCTCCGCAATATTGTTGTTTTTAACAGTTTTTAATATTTCTCACTTACAGGTCGTCTAGCAGATGTTCTCCAGGAAGCGAACGTCCCCATCATCAGCGACACTGTCTGTAACGCTCCTGATTACTATGACAATCAAATCACCACCAGTATGTTCTGTGCTGGTTATGAGAAAGGAGGCACGGATGCCTGCCAGGTCAGGGTGTGTCTGTGTCGATGCGTTCTGGTGCATAAATGCTGGTGTGTTTATGTGTGTGGGTTTCTAATTATGGAACTCTGAGATGTCCTCTTGTGTCTCTGTGTGTACTTTGCTTTTCTGCTTGTAATCTGAATGTGCCCAGTGCATATACTTGGTTTCTTTGATGTGTTATTACATTCATATTTGTTTGAAGTTGTGTTTATGCTTGCTTAAAATGAGTGGTTATAATGTGCGTATGCTTTAATCCTCTGTGGCTTCAGGGAGACAGTGGTGGTCCTTTTGTGGCATATGATTGCCTGTCCAAGACCAGTCGGTATCGTCTGCTGGGGGTTGTGAGCTGGGGAACAGGCTGTGCCATGCCCAAGAAACCTGGAGTCTACACCAGAGTGTCCCGATTTCTGCCCTGGATATCTACGGCCATGAGGGTGAGAAACTGAACAATTTTTTTTTATGGTAATGTAATGAAATAGTTGTAATACTATAATACAGATAGCAATGCCTCTGCCACCAAATTAATTGACTGGGAATAACTACATAAACAGAACAATAACTCATCTATAAACCACTCACAACCAATATATGGACATTGCCCACACTTCCACATACAGGTACAAGGAGTCTGTATTCATATTCAGGCTGTGAGGAGTTTTTCCTTTGGAAAGTCAAAACATGTGACACTGCAAAATATTCATAGATAGCATGGAAAAAAAGAATGAATAGTAGAGGACATGCTAGTTTTTCCTTACCCCCACACACAAGGAAACAAAAAAAATTGTTGCATACAATGTTACATACATTAATTTGAGGTAAAGTTTTAGTCATCTATATCTATAATCTGTTCTTGTGACATTAAAGATGTGTTTAACAATTGCTCTCATCTCTCTCCTACAGAACTATCACAACTCACCGGGGGTTCATAAAATGGCCCGGACATGAGATTCCTGCTCCCATTTTTTTACTCTTGGATGACAATATTGAAAGACCCTGTAGATGTCAGCGGGGCCTGTTTGATGGGGATGAAAGGCTGTGGTGTCCCAGATTCCCCGTCTTACCTAAAACTTTTTTAGTGAGGATTTAACCACTTCCTGAACCTTCCCACATTGTTAAATCTCTACCAATATCACACTTGCTAATAGATAACCTTTATCTGTGCAGCGATACACAGACAGAGGTCTTTAAAGGTCGGGTACGCGATTCCGGAGAAAGTTTGTTGAAAGATTATAAAACGTCATCACATGAACGACTTGCAAGCACACAGCATCCAAAACACAACGGAACTGGCCAAAGTTAGTTGTTTAAATTGTTTTTATAAAACTACAGTGAGGAGAACATTGTAGGTTTGTAGCTAAGCCAACAATGAAGGTAATGTTGGCAAGCCTGTTTTTAGGTCTGTTTTTAGGTGGCTATAAAACCCTTAAAACATACAGACAAATACCATGATATAGAGCAAACAAATAATGTAGCTATGTTGTGGGTTAGCAAACTGTAGCTAACGTTGCTGCTGTGCAGCTAACACCCAGAGAGGGCACACCAGCTCCAGACAGCAATACTGACACCTCTCCTGCTACCATAGCTAACATCACATCAAAAGCATGTCTTGGCAAACCAGAAAGTTAGCTGAATGTCCGTGGGCAAGTAATTTAACGTTATCTGACACACAAATCCTAGCTGGAATGGCCAGAATAACAAGATAGTGTTGTGCCAGCACACAGCAGAAAGCTAGTGGAGCGTGAGGAGATATCCGCTAAATGAATAAAAAGAATTGGATTTGAATCGCATCGTCTAGAATCGCTTACCCCACCTTTACAGGACCAGTGTGTAGGATTTAGTGGCATCTAGAGGTCAAGTTGCAGATTGCGTTTTAATACAGCTCAGTTTGTAGGAGAAACTACGGTGGCCATGAAACTTGTGAAAAACATGTAGGCCCCATTTAGAGCCAGTGTTTGGTGTGTCCGTTCTGGGCTACCCATGGCGGTTCGTGGGTCCGTAGAGGAGGACCCTTATTTTCAGGTAACTATACACTAATTAAAACATACTTATGAATATTCAGTTTCTGCCAATAGATCCTCCTAAATGTTACACACCAGACCTTTAAGACCTTCACATTAATGTTGACTAACTTTGTTATTATGAAGTTAAATATTGATAAAAGGGTAAAAGTGAAGAATACTAGAATCACTTTACTGGATTTATGAAGCCAGTTTTGTAAAATACAATGATTTTGTTTTTCTGAGCTGACTTTTTTCTCCTCTTGTATTTTTTGTTTAGCTACATACAACTGCCATGCCACCAAAAATCAATATTCTGTAGAAATAACCACTATAACTTATGAGCTAAAGAGCAGTACATTGAATTAAGACTTGTGAATGCTCAGGTTTATCTTAATAATTCTAGATGTAATTGCAAGGATGCCGGTGTACACAGTAAGCCACAGTGCGTGCATTTACATTGTGCAACACTAAGAAACACACACAGACAATTAGAATCTAACATGTTGGTAATTTTGAAGAATTACAGCACACATCCAACTTTTCACATCACAAGCATCTCATATATAATTGAACTCTTACTTGTGTGATATGTTTCATATCTTTTTATATGCAGTAGCCTGACTTTTGTATGAAGAATAATTATTCATACAAGTTCTGTCTTTATTCCCACATGAATGGATGAGTATTTTGTTGTTATCTTGTAAATATTAGTCACTGTCTTGTTTATGTAGATGTTATGTTACAGATCTTAAAGCCAGGAGTGCAATAACAACCTAAATCATGTTCTCAGAAGATATTTTACTTTTACTGCCGCACATATTAATTACCAGACTTCGAATGCTAATGATGTCTCATTTCATTAACTGGCATGAGTATGCATTAGTATATACTAAAATTCCAGCTCTTACAGTCGTCTTTAACATAAACCACAAATAATCATTTCAACAGTAAGTTTACGGCTGTTACTTATATTCAGATTAAAGCGGCATCAGGACGAAGGTCGAAGGTCACTATACTGAAATATATTTGTTTTACAAGACAATGTATTTACACCTTCAGAGAAATGTTTATTACATAAGGACAAATGGGAAAAATGAAATGTTTCAAACTAATCTGCATCTCAAGCAAATAACCAACATGACAGAGGATGAGGTATAGTGTATAGGCACAAAAATGACTGCACCCTCACTAGAATCACAAAACAATATTCACAAAATAAAAAACATAACACAGAACTCTATCACTGTAGATATGAACTGAATCTGAACCCGCTCCTGGCTGACATAAAGGAATGGATGTGAACACAACTAACTTTCTGCAAAATACATTTGAACCCTGTCTGGCACTGATTTTTATCTCTTGAATAAACCGAATGTAATATGCATTCTCATACTACTCACCCCTTTGAAATAAAATTCATGTATGTACATTTATGGTGATTATGATGTGTACAAGAGAAATACATTTTGTAAAATGTAAACTGTTTCATTGAGTATTGTATTGAAATAAATCCTTAATTAAAAACAACTTGTCTTCAGTCATTGTGTTATAATATCACTCTTTTAAATGTATATACATGTATAAATATTGAATATTAACAGTACAGATGGCTGTAAAATATATTTATATTGTAGTATACAGTACACAGTTTTGGATTTTTGCTCCCAAAAATCCCTTATAAAAGTAAAATAAAAAATATTTAAAAGCCCAACAAGGAACTTTGATGATTCTAGTGGCCCCTGTCGACAAAAGAGCAGCAAAAGTGTTTCTATTTCCTTGTTTCATTGATTTCAATGGGAATCCATCTGAATCTGACCAGGTGGCAGACATTAAAAATATCTAGAAATCTTCTCACTGATTGTCTTGTTTGTTTATGTCAAATTATATTATTTTGAGACTGTTTCATAACCAGTTAAAAACTCCTTGTAGTTTGTTTAGGGTAAAATGAAATACCTACATCCCTGTTTAGTCATTATTACTTTATTACTGTACAAACTAAACAAAACACAGTAGTATAAATGAATATAATAAATACAACAAAAAATACATTTTAATACATCTTAATAAAACTTTACAAAACTTCAGAGGAAGATTTGTGACATTCAGCATACTTTAGTTTTCTTTTATGACGATGAAACTGCACTTAAAGGAGTGAGAGGTTTCAGTCAGACTCAGCTGGATTTAGCCAGTGTAACGTAGATCACAGAGTCGTCACTCTCTCCTGCTTCGGACCTGAGGAAGAAAGTAATGGTTTCTGTGAAATTTAATCAAATAATCAAATAGTCAGATGACTATTTAAGACTGTACAGTTACAGTGACTAAAGATCACATGCACTTTACTTTGACCGACAGTGAGTAATAAAGTGCAGTGACACCACACTGCTATGAACGGGTCCAAAGTGAACCTACCAGAGGTCCTGTGGGGCACTGCTGTTGTCTATGTGACGAGGATGTCTGGGGTTTCTGGGTTTGATGGTCACTGTTGAGTAGGTAACCTCATCTTCATAAGACATGAGGTCCTGAGGGGAGAGGAGGAGTCTGTGTATTCAAAATCTGCAAACATTTCATTGTTGTGAGTGGAAATGTTATGTTCAACATTCGTGTGTGCCGCCATATTTACATCATGTTCACCGCTTGAGCTCCTCTGTGAATGAGGAGTGATGCTAGTAACAGGTAGAGGAGTGGAGGGAAACATGTGGAAGTTGGCATAAATGCTGTTGGATTGATCTTCAGTGGCTGAAGAGCTCGAGCCTCTTTCACTGAGATCAAACACAGTCTGCTGGGGGCAAAAAAAAAGAAAAGTTAAATTAGGTTTTCTGATTTACAGTTTATTTCCTTAGGTCCCTATTGGGAACATGTTAGCATGTGCTTTCACTCCACTAAAGTTTCTGTTTTAATATTGAAAAATAATGAGTTTAGGGTAGAAAGAATAATTGTTTCAGTATTTGTCGTAACTATCTGTTGGGACTCTTGCTCAAGCACAGACTGAAAATGCTATTTATATAGTTTATAGTCCAATTTAAAGGTCTACACATTTAAAAAAATAAAAATGAATAAAATAAAAATAAAAAAGTGCTTTAACAACAGTTACTTAATGAGGAAAATTAATTGTAATCACTTTTTTCTCCTTATGGGTCGTCTGTTTTCTCCTACCAAGACAACAACAATTAATAAATCTTGCTCAATCTTTGACGTCACATTTTAGAGAAGTTGTTCTGTAGTAATGGAAAACAGAGCAACTTGGCACTTCTATAATTTGCTGCTCAGTACACACTGACCATCACTTTTTTCCACTGGGTTAGATGTGAACTATAGAAAACGATTAGAATAAGGAAATAACTCAGAATATATGGAATTCTGTACATCATAATATTCATCTTTTGAATAGATGCTAATGACACCAACGTTAAAAGTGTCTATACTTATATATACATGTATAGACATGAGGATCCAAGTGTCCACAGAATGGAAATTAACTGACATCGCATGCTGCATGACAGCATTGGATCAAACCCACTTAAAAAGTAAAAAAAAGGAAATGCAATTCAAAGATGCATGTAACAGTAAAAATGACACCATGAGTCATTCAGTCACACTCACTCCATCTTTCAGTGACTCACCAGAACAAAAGAAGAGCTAACACAAGTGTTACCAGAAGAGAGACTGCAACTCCAGCTATTAGTGGGAGGGACGAGCTGCCTGTGGACAAACACACTGCGGTTAGGTTACTGCAAATTAAGAAATTTAAATACAATACGCTTTAAATACACAATGATGAAGAAATATTAAATTTTCTACATGAACAAGTCACTTAACCTTTATCTGTTGAATTCAATGGAACTTTAACTTTAAACAGTGATGACAGTGAAGAGACACAAACCATGCTCATCTTCCTTCATGGCCAGCAGAACCTCAGTTGAGTTGTCCACGCCCAGTAGGTTCCTGGCCTGGCAGAGATAGAGTCCAGTGTGGGACGCCTCCACAGAGGGAATAGACATCACCTGTCCTGAGCCCACCTGGACCATGGAGCTGGAAGAAGCTGTCCTCTTGTACCAGGTGTAGTTGTCTGCTGCAGGGTTAGCAGTACTGTTGCAGATCAGGTTTACACTGCTGCCTCCAACAATGTGTGGAGGGTTCATTGAAACGGAAATGTTCACTGGACCATCTGATAAAAAGCAACAAACACTGCACATGTCAACAATTTTATTCCAAAATAAGACAGAAATCACAATATTGTAATATAAACTATATATATATAAAATAATGTAGTAGAGCGGAGATTCCCAACCTGGGGTCCCTTGTGGGATAAATCTGAGTGGTCACATGACGATTAAAGGAACTAAAAAGATAATTTAATGACTAAAAGATAAAAAATATACATTTCTTTTATACACCAATTTCATTTTATTTTATAGACTGAAAATGTCTATTTATGTTTGTTCTAATCAGTATGAACATCTTAGCAGCACTTCTTTCCTTTAACATCTTGTCCTGTCAGAACCTTTTTTTTCTTGTGGAAATTTTGGACAACCTCTTGAACGCAGCATGAAAACTTACTAACTCCTGTGTTTCAGTAATGTGCGACACGGTTTCTGTAAGAAATCAAAACACAGACATTTGAAGGGTCTTCTCAGTGTCACATGTCAGCATACTTACACTGGACATCTAGGTGAACCTCAGTTGAGTTAACGAAGTCGCCGATATTATTCCAGGCCTGACAGTGGTACAGTCCGTTGTGGCCGGGCTGGACGTCAGAGATGGTGTGATTCAGTCCTGAACTGATAAACTGCCTGTCTTTATACAGCCTGTATCCACTCTGTGTCACAGGTGGGTTGGCATCACTGCTGCAGGTGAGAGTCACTAGACTTCCTTTGACAACGTCTCCAGATGGACTCATTGACAGTGTGACTTTTTTGGGAGCATCTGAATGAGAGAAGAAGAGTTCAGCTTCACAGTCAGTCAGTGAACAAGTATTTTATTAAATTGTGCCTTAATTTTCACTTTTTTCAGTTGTTTTATTGGCCCACAAGGGTAATTATTTTATGCAGGAAGCCTAAAAAACTAAATGAAAAAAGATTTTTCTATGTCTAAATATAACAAGCATTTCACTCCAGTTATATACAGGTGTTAAGTCAGTTGTTGATTTCACCCAATAAAAAAACTATATTGACAAAAAGGAGACAGATTAAACGGTGACTTTTCGAGGTAACTGAGACACAGGAACATTTCACAAGTTTAGCTTTGAAATGTGAAACATGTTATTTGTGTACTTACACTGAACATTCAGAGCCACAGAGGCTGATCTGACCGTCTCTTGTCCCGGGATGGCACAGTAGTACCTCCCAGCATCTTCTCTCCTGGCCTGGAAGACTGGATTTGTTACAGGCTCTCCATCTCTGAACCAGACTACATCTAAAGGTGTAGAACAACCTGACGCACAGGTCAGACTGACATTATCTCCCTCTGTCACAGTGCTCGGCTGCACAACTGTGGTCAACTCTGATTCAGAAACAGAAGCAGAAAATCGATTAATTTTACTAGAACATATCTAATTCATGACAAATGTATCCTTTTCCATTATTTTGTCATTACCTCTTACGAACAAATGAGCATATGTTTTACTTGTCCATCTGTTCAATGTAGTTGAAAAACTGAAAAAGTATTGTCCTTCATCAGCGTGTTGTACATTATTGATCTCCAGACTACAGTCACTCCAGTAGTTGCCCACATATTTAAAGTGGCCTGGGGGTGAAGGGAGGCTTGACAGGTAGAACAGCTTCCACAGGCCAGACACACGCTGGGCTTTAGACCATTTAACTGAAGTGACAACATGACCAACGGGATAGTCATACTTGCAGCTCATAACTACTGATGTCCCTCTCAAAGCACACTGACTTTTGAAGGTCACCCCCCAGTCTGCGCTCCAGACACCTGCGCGCAAAAATTAGACGGTATAAAATGTATTTCAAAGCTCAAAGCAAAAGTTACATAATGATTTGATAACAGTCACCACATTTGCTATACATTAATTTAAAGAAAGTGTTTTCTTACCTGGCATTATTACCAGAATAAGTAGATTCAGTTTTTCCATGATTAAAGTCAACCTGCAATATTGTCACAAAGGATACAGATTAATATACAGCAGAGCACTGAGAACAATGTCAATATTCATTGTGTATCAAATCAAATCAAATCAAATCAAGTTTATTTGTATAGCCCTTTACAATAGCCAAAAGGTACCCAAAGTGCTTTACAACAAAGCCATGAAACAATACATAACACATATATAATATGCAAATACAATTAAAAGTGCTGTAGTGCTGCAGCACTGCAGGGTATTAAAAGCCTTCCAGAAATGCATAGAGAGGAGCAGATAAAAAGAGTACACCTAAGAGACAGTACTGTCCTAGTCAGAATTAAATGCTAATCTAAAAAAGTGGGTCTTAAGCTGCGACTTAAAAAGGCCGAGATCAGTAGTGGTGCAAATGTCAGGGGGCAGTTTGTTCCACAGTCTAGGAGCAGCGACGGCAAAAGAACGATCGCCCCACTGTTTAAGTCTCAACCTAGGGACCTCTAACAGAAGCTGACCCGAAGAGCGCAGGGCTCTGCCACAATTGCAAAAAGTTAAAATCTCTGACAAGTAAAGTAAAGTAAAGTGTATCAAAGGCAGTACTCACCAACATAAGCAAGCTGACTTACTGCTTTGTACATTCCTAGGAGTGATTTTGTGGAGTTAAAAAGCAGAACTGGGAGGGTGTCCCCTCCCTGCATCCTTTCATCATTCACCATCATATTGTCACACATTCAGAGTGCTGATAAAGTTAGAAAGCCTCACATAGTAAGATCTGAACACACACACAGACATACAAGGTATGTAGGACGTGGGAAAACAAGACATGGACAATAGATCCATTGGTCATCCACCAGGTTATCGATACACAACAAGAATCACTCAGTATATGCTCAGTAACCAGTAGCACGTGCACAGGGAAGTGGGGAATTTGCTGACAGTTTTTCCCGCCACACATTTCTAAATGTCCATGAGTGTTTGTAGGACATGTTGAAACTGAACAGATTGCATCAAACACTTTGTACTGGGGTGTCACTGTCGGTAAAAAAGAGTGATGGTGCAATGAAACACCCAATGCAGTGGATGGATCATTTGAAGTGTGTATGGTACCTAGGATCTCCACAGGAATATCCACGGGTGAGAGAGGGTGAGTGAAATAAAGTTGGAAGATCTGTAGGAATTATATTTTGTGCTTTCAAGCAAAATATACTGGGTGGGATTTTTTATGATCTGTCTACAGAGATTTGAAACCTTCAGTTTATCTCTCTAAAGGGTTTAGAGAGATAAACTGAAGGTTTCCTATTGAAAGTCCTTCTGCCCAGGAACCAAAGATCACTGCAGTATGATCGAGCTTCTCTAAGTGGCCAACATGCCAGAAACAGCTGCTGTGAGTTTGTCATTGCTGACACAATCTATCCTTCACCACCGGGTGGTGTTATTGGACCATGCAACCAGTGGAGGCAATGAGTTACACTGCATATAGGTGTGCATAAACCACTACATCAGTAGTGGAGGGTTGCTGTGGATGATAGAAGAGCAAATAAAGTGAGAAAAAAGAGAAATAAAAACTGTCCAAATGGATGATTGTAACATCATTAATTATTATGACTATTAAGGTTTTTATTGTTGTCTGATCAAAACTTTAAGCACATTAGCCCACCAAATACTCCCCCTGCAGCTCCACATCAAGGGAGGAAATGTTACAATGTACATGTACATCATAGTGGCATATTTATTGCATCAAACATTTCCTCTGCACCATGTGAGTCAGAGAGCAAGAACAAAGTTGTGTCATTGTGTGGTTGTTTTTATACTCAGTTTTAACCAGCGGGTTTATAGCTCTAATGCCAGTCAGTATTATTTACAGTGTCTGTGGTGTCTGATGCCATGACTGAACGATGATGAACACACCAAAAATGTACCAACACCTTCTCTTCTGTGTCATTGTTAAAATGATCAAATGTGTTGGTAAAATAGTGCAACCCTCCGCTCCACATTAGTAATCACAAGGGATGAAACAGTTAATCAATAAATTATAAATAAATAGGCTGTATTAAATGTATCTTTGTGAGAGAAACTTTTTTGAAGTATTTATTTTCATTATAATATTTCACTATCAGTAGTGCATTAGAAAGAGGAGGGAGTGGAAAGAGAACATCTAGACATTTGATAGTCAAATTAATAGTTTGCTTTGGATTTAACAGAAACAAAGAATGTGCATGTTGATGTTTTTTTCTGTCTTTATTGCTACCTTTTTTGTTAGCAATGCTCGCTAAAACAACTATCCATGTCTTATTTTATAACTCCAACATACAAAAACAGCTAAACACTGTAGCCACTCTTACTGAAATAAAAGAAGCTACAAAGTTAATATATAGCATACGTTGGGTTGATTCCACTGACTGTATTGTGTCTTTTTGCCTTTGTGAGAGAAAATAAAAATCAAATTTTCATGAAATTCATACATTGCATCCCTCTAATCTTACTGTTGACAAACGCTTTCCTCACTCTCAACACATTGATAATTTGTCCACACATTCAAATGTTTGTGAGCTGCAAAAACAATGAGAAAGCTATGATTGGTTCTACTGCAAGTGTTTGTTTTATTTTTATTTATTTTACATTATCTTCTGGCTTTGCTTAAGACTAATTTTATTGGAAGCAAGCTATATCAACGGAATAAATGTTGCAGCCTCAGCATTCAAAATGAACTATTCAGAACATTGTTGAATACAGTGTGGAAATATTTCATATTCTTTATAGATGTTAAACAATTCTCTACAGGTTTTATCCACTAACATATCATTTGTATTAGAGACAGATATGTTTGCATACAAATGATTTTCACTTTTCAGTGGTCGGAGGATACAAACGATGCCGTAGCAACCAGTGATACTGTGTCATCTATATATATCTACATCAAGTAAAAAGCAGCAGTAGATACAGCCGTACTGTGGATATGAATGCAAGCAAAATGACAACCAGCAGTGTGAATGCTCACTTTTTCACTACTTTGTTTTCAAGCATCATCATCATTGGCAGCACACAGTGGTAAGATGCATATGGAAAAAAATAAGGGAAAGACATGCAACACAGTTTAGGAGCTGGACTCGCAGTCAGGACCAGGACCACATGTTGTCCTCGTGGTCTGGTGAACTGTGGAGAATCCATAACAACACGTCTGACCCAGAACAGCGTAAGGCATCGTCAGAGTTCACAAGGAGCCGTTTCCTGTCCCACAATCCCCTCTGGGTGAATGGAAGCAAAGTGATTGGTTCATATGAGGAAGGCTGATGTGTTTTTCAGCTGAAGAATAACAGAGAATAACAAGAGCAGAAACACGAGTAAAGGTTGAAAACAGCAGAAGCCAACTGAATGCAAATGATCCTATTATAGCAGCAGAACACAATTTGATCTCAAGAATTAATTATCATTTCATTCAGCTGTTTAAATTCATTTTGGGTCTTTATTCCTGCATGGTTTGTTTATTGCACCACTGAGACTCATTTATTTAAACAGGTATCCTTTTGTGTGGCCTTTTTTCCTTCCAGGGGCATAACTTTACTGGATTATTATCTCATCCATTTTGAGGACTGTATGTGGGGTGATCATAGCATTGACATAGGCCCGTGTATATGATATATAAAATTATAGGGACCATCTTCAGTAGAAAATATAAAAAACAGCTCAAATAAACTGGACAGAACTGTACCTCTGAGGCTTTTAAATGACAATAGTGAGAGCTGTAAAGTGTCATACCGGATTTGCCGTTTTCCTCCAGGTCAGTGGCGAGGCTGGGGCAGTAGAGTGTAAACAACTTTGGAGGAATCTTTTGGCTTTTTTTCACCACCCAGTGGCACGTTGTGGACCTGCACCTGCTCTGCACTGAACCAACATCAACAACAAACAGAAACCATATGAGTTCATCTGGACATCTGACTCAGATCAAATCATAAAATACAGCTCTTCGTTTTGTTCCAGAACCATTGAAATGTTTTTAATGTCCAAAACTGGGATGAGGAATTTATTGTCCTCTCATAAACAGGAGAAGGTGTTGGATATCACAGAAGAAAGAGAGTAAAGACAGGAAAGTGTGGAAAGCGTAAGGAAGAGACTAGAGAGATGGTGACGACAGGAAGATAAAGAAGAAAGCAAGACTGCCTGTGTAGTTGTAAAATAAAATCTGTGACATGTAGGACATGAAACAGTAGATTGCTGCTGTGGTCAACAGCTCAGTAGGGAGACAGATGTTGTAGTTGGGAGACAGAAACAGACAGAATGTTTCCCATTGAACAAAAGGCAGAAAGAGAGTAGTTCAGAGGAGAAAAAAAAGTGACTTGGAGGAAGATGGCGTGTACCTGGACAACTTGGAGTAGTGGACAGTGATGTAGTTGGGGGCGGGGCTGTGACTTTCAACTTCTGTGATTGGTGGAGCATCCTTTAGAGGAACGATGGCAGGATGGGAGCTGTCACTCAAGTCCTCTGGCTCCTCCTGCACACACACACACACACACACACACACACACACACACACACACACGCAGAGATACATCAGAAAGTTAGACCATTTGTAATATATTGTTATTCTTATCCAGAATTATGTAAGACATTATATAAGACTCTGAGTGGTGTACCGGTATGTCGGACATCTTGCCCTTTCTCACTGGAAAGGTCTGTTGAGCTGACTCATAGAACATGGTGTCAGCTGTCACTGACGGGCGCTGGGGTCACACACACACACACACACACACACACACACACACACACACACACACACACACACACACACACACACACAAACACAAACACATGCACACACACAGACAGAATAAGGGAAAAAGTAAAACTGAGGGTCATTTTTTAATGAACTGACTTAATTGTGTATTAAAAGCATGTTTTTAAACAGTCAACTGCAGGTTAGACAAAAACTAAAATGAAACATAATAGAACTATGAGTATACTTTACCTTGTTTGCTACATCTCCTGACTCCATGTCTACTCTGTGCATGTTCTTACTATGAAGACACAGGGATAATATTATTAAACCATAACCAAGTGATGACTCCTACTACAAAAGTAATGCAAATAAACCATGAAACTGGCTGTAGGAAGACCAACCTCAAAAAAATAAATCCCTAAAATATTGAAATATTGAACAAACTGATGCTGAACTTGAAAATTAGCTACAATGGGCACAAAATTATTGTATAGTCCTCCTAAAAAAATGGAATGAAGTGGAATTAGTCCATCTAACAGCGAAAAAACAGCGTGTCACCTGATCATAATGGCGACTGTGAGAGTGATGAGTCCAGCAGACACGCCTACTGCTGACGCCAAGGCAATGACCTTAAGACGACCTGTCAGTGGGAGGATAACAGAGGTTATCAGCATGACTAGAAACAGGAAGAAAGAAGAGGGAGTCAGGGTTAACATGAGATGAATAAAAATAGAAGTGCAGCAAGCTAAAAAAAAACCATCAGACATAAAAATAGAAAGTGAACAGGGAGAGAGCTGTACATCATCTTGCAGTTGTCTAGACTTGTGTTTCCAGTTCTAATTTCCAAACCTAACTCCACTTCTTCAGCTGTCTAGACTCAAATAGTAGTTTTCCACAACACCTCATCACCCCTTCCTCTCCCCTTGTAGCGAAAGGGCTTTACATGACTCACCATGACTCATAGAAAAACAGTCAGAAATCATGACAGCATACACAATGAAGACAAGGGCCTGGACCTCATGCTGCGATAGTGACAGGTTTTATCACTCATCATATCAATCACACAGAACCCAGTCCAACATCCCCTCTGCCATAATCTCAGAGAAACACTTCAAACCATTTTGGAACAATTGCCTGAGATAATTAGAAGCATAGATGTAAAACTGGGGCTGGGGTATTTCACTAACCTCATCAGTGACACCTCATCTCTTCTATTACACCTTTAAAAGGGACAATGCGTTCACAATGAAAACTCATAGAAAGAGAAAAGTCAGGGTATAATCCAGTAAACACAGGGGCGTGTCAGTGGGCAGCAGAGATGAACCACTAAAGGCTTATAGACTGAGTGTAAATGTAACTCTGACACCTTCACAACTCATGAAAATGGCCAGAAAATAAATTCCATTGTAACATTTTTTTGTCTTAAAGGTTGCTATAATTTTAAAGAGCTCACAGCATGAAGTCTGCTCATTCTTTTAGCAAGTGTCAAAACCTGCACTGTAAAGTAATCCATTACATTTTCATAGAAATAGTTCCCAGTTTTACTACTTTCTACTGCCAGTTGATATAAGTAATTCAGCATATTACCACTTCATTATTTTTTTTATAATGTTGGCTGCATATAATAGTGTACCTAGTGTTGGGAAGCTATTGCCAAGGAAAAATCCTTCCAAGGTCTAAAGCCTTGCTTTTATAGGGTATATAGGAACAGCTAAATGCTAACATTAACATGCTCACATGCTTACAATAACAATGCTAACATGCTGATGTTCAGCAAGTAAAATGTCCAACATCTTAGTTTAGCATGTCAGCATACCAATTAGCAACAAGTAGCTCTAAACATAAAGTACAACTGAGGCTCATTAGCTTTGCAGGTATTTGGTCATAAACCAAAGTACTGACAAATTTAACTTGATGATGCTACATTAAAAAAGTTATTTAAAATGATTTCAATTCATCCTGAAGGAGACATGAATATCAGTACTAAATTTCATAGCAATCCATCCAATAACTTTCACGACATTTTACCAAAAACCACAAATGTGAACCTCATGGTAGCGCTACATTAAACACGAATGTACAAAATTTCATGGCAATCTGTTTGATAGTTGTTGAGACTAACAAACAAACAAAATGTTTTCTTCTTGTTTTGCCACAGCACAGAGACACACAGACAGCAGTGTGAAGGATATAGAAGTCCATGCATAAATCATAATGTACCTCTGACTCGTACAGTGAGGACGGGAGAGCTGTGGGCTCCAATTCGATTCCTGGCCTCACAGTAGTACTGACCGCTCTCTCCAGGGCCGACCTCTGAGAAGGTGAAGACAGGACCAGACTTTGTGCCCCATGCTGCGCAGAAAGGGAGTAGATCCATTTACTGTTTCAGACAAACCAACAGAGGCACACAGAGACTGAGACACCTTACTGACTACAGCCATTTACCACAGGTAGAGTTAGGTATTGATGATTTTGTAATGTTAACCTTGAGTGGAACCACATTTTTACGATGCTAACATTGTACAGAGCCCCCGTCCAGAGATAAGCGGTGCCATGTGAAGTTGTCCACTGCAGGGTTGGCCTGACTGCTGCAGGTCAAGGTCAAAGGCCGGCCAGCATCCACCACACTGGAGGGACGAGCCAGAACTGAGGTGTTCTTAGGAGGGTCTGGAGAGAGAGGAAGAGGAAGGGAAGTTTTGTCATGTAAATTTAACATGACAATAATATGAATTCAGTAAAATTATGAAGAAGGTTAGGGTTTGTAGATGGACCACCTGTTGTTTTGGTGAGTTTGGGAACCCCGTGATCAAATCATATATTGTTTACAATATACATTACATTAAGGTTTTACAGTGACAATGCCTGAAGACATAGGTAAAGTCTTTCTTTCTCAAAAATCTCAAAAAGACAAAGAGAAGGCTAAACATAGATACTTTAGAGGTATTTATGTGTAGATATCAGCATGTCCCTCGGATAAATATTAGTATTTTTTACAAACAGACAAACCTAGCCCAGAGAAAAAATCTTCTCAATCCCAAACATGTCATGCATGAGCAAACAACACACCCACTACTTACAAAGTATAGTCAGTGTAGCAACAGGAGAGGTTTGGTATCCTAACCGGTTCCATGCTTTACAGTAGTACTGACCAGCATGTTGAGCACGCACTAACGGTAATGTCAGGTTCTGGGGGGTTCCTTTAGCCAACACCTGGTCACCTAGGATACGATACCAAGCATACCTGCAGGAGCAAGGATGGTAAAGATGCTGATAATGAAAATGATTGTAGGACTAAACAATCTGCAATAATATGATATTTAGTCCTTAATAATTAGATTATTTAACACTTGGTGTAATAAAGTTGAATATTTATCATTATTTAAATCTTTTTTCCATATTGCCCAGTCCTTATTAATGACTCAATAAAGGAAAGTAAGTCTAAAGTTAAGAAATTAGATAGAAAAAGAGATGACATGACAAATACAAGAATGATGATAATGATGACAATATCCACAAAAACACAAATAAGAACTATGATAAGGAAAACAATACAAACAATAAAAATATACAAATGTATTGCTCCTACCTGCTGGCTGGAGGGTGGGCGTGGCTGACACAGCTCAGGTTTACATATGAGCCTTCTCTGATGTCACCTGGAGGACTCACGAGCACACGCGTGTTCTTTGGAGAGTCTGAACAGGCAAACGGATGGAGAGAAAAACAGGAGCATCATTAATATTATGTTTATTTGAGGTTCAGTAAATGCAACCATCAATTCCTTTCAAAGCTTCTCATAAAATAGTGTAGAGTTTAATGAAGGCAGCACTGATAACTACTGAACCTGCTGAGTGGCTACTAAAGTAAACAACCTGCAGACCTTTCAGTTTTAGGTATGACAAAAGGTTGTTGTGTTATCAGGACACAGTCAGACATACAAACATTCAGTCAATTATAGACTAATCATTTCCGTTTGATGCATATTCTTAGAAACAAAAGTAAAGTATGAGAAATCAGCAGTTTGTATCACTTCCTACTGAATCCACATGATCGAGTCCTCTCATTATGACTACAGTTTCTAATAGAGTTGTTTCCTAATCAGTTTAACCCAGACTAACCTTTTACAGATTTACACAACAGGACCTAAGATATGAACATACATCCAGACCTAATACAGGTTTTACAAAGGTTTTTACTCTCAAAATGAAATTCTGATCAAAGTGCAAGTGCTTGAAGTCGACCAAAGACACCCTGCCTGTGATAACAATGAAAACATCCAACAAACTTACAAGTGACATTGAGTAGAAGTGGTTTGGAGCGGTCTGTTCCCAGTGAGTTACGTGCTACACAGAAGTACTCTCCTCTGTCTGTGTATCTGAGGTGGGACAGGAGGAGCTGAGGCCTAAAGCTGTCTGGGATGCTGCCACTGTCCATGTCTGGAGAGAAGACAGAGACACATGTGCAGATTAGTGCGCATATTAATTCACATTATGAGCATAAACATTTACATGCTGTACTTGAAAAATAACTCCTGCAATCCCAGAGGAAAACTTGATCCTCTGCTTCAACAAATCATTAAAGGAGCTTCACTTGTCCAACTGCAGGAGGAAATTCACATTACAGTGTATGTCACCATCATCACTCAGCTCATATCTACGACACGCTGTCAATGCTGTCCTGTACCTTTGAACCATGCAAAGCTCTCCACAGGTGGAGCTGCGTTGCTACGGCAGGTCAGAGTGACCGACCCCCCCTCTGACATGTCGCCTACTGGGAAGACTGCTATGGAGGTGGAATTAGGAGCGTCTGGAAGGGGAAGAGAGAGAAAACAGGAGGGAGTGAAAAAAAGGATATATTAGGAAGAATTGGGGACAGAAAAAAGTGGTGATGAAATAATGCAGTTTAAATACAGTTTACACTTTATCAAAACTAAGAATATTCTTCTATATGAAAATCTCCTTCTGAAAACATGTTTGTGTGTTTTGTTTTGGTTGGTTTGGTTGGTTTGATTGTACTCACGTCCCAGAGCTAGGGAGAGGGATGGTGACTGGACATTCTGTGGTGGGATTGGTCGACAGGTGTACGCTCCGGCATGCTGCTGGTCAAAGCGGTTGATAATCATCCACTTCTCATAGGAGCCAAGGTTTAGTCCGTTCCTGTGTGCAGAGCAGTGTGTCATATCTAAAGTGTAGCACAGTGGTTCCAACCCATTTCATTAAGGGACCCCATTTCCGATCATTGAGTAAACCGACAACCCCCGACTGACGTATTTTATAGATATTGTATTCAACGCATAACAATAACAGTACAAAACAGCTGATAAACCGTACAACTATCCCAAACCGTGAACGCAATAACTGTAGGAAGTTTGTTTAAAACAAGAGATTTGGATGCATTTTGAGCAGATTATTATATTATTATATATACTGTGAATATCAGAGTAGAGATTTTTAGGACCTTTTAATACAATTATCAGTCTGTATTATATGTTTCATTTTTAACTGTCATACATACTTAAGAGGCTTCTTTTTTTGGCAAATTCAGTGTTTTATTCTCCCTAATGATTGGCCATTGTTCTATTAGATCTTTTGGTTGTTTCTCTGTATTTGCCCAATGCAGGATGAGGCTGTTTATCATAGAGTGAAGGCTCTGTGAATATAACTTTAGATTCAGGTCTTCACAGTGCCCTTATGCTGTGAGATATTTTCCAAGGTTATATTTCCAAATATTAGTAGTTTGGGAATCAGAAGTGTAGCAGACAGTGTACTTTTTAAATATTAACTACAATAAGCTCCAAACCGCTGTCTGGCTAAGCAATAATACATCCACATGTACATTAAACACACCTGTACAGTGCAAGACTCCTTCCAGGAGCTGCACATCCTCTGGCCTGGCAGCCAACAAACACAGTCTCTCCGAAGCCAAACATGTTGCTGGGCCTTGCTGGATGCACCTGGACCTGGAGGTCTGAAATACACACACACATTCATACCTTCACAAAAACACTGGCTGCATGAATCCAGCGCAGGAATCAATATATCTTTGTTATTGCAGAGACGTTATAGCAGTTTCAGTTTGAGCAGTCATACCGGTGACATCGAGAGTGATGGTGTTAGGGGAGGTCCATCTCCCCAGTGGTTGGTCTGTCTCAAACCGGAAGTGGTACTCGCCTGCATCACTCAGCTTCACAACCCGAATCTGGACTGAACAGCTGGAATAGCTGCCCCCGATGTAGCTGGAATGCATGATTCATTTGTCATACATTTATGCATTATTTCATTATTTCACATTTAGAGTATGTCAGCTGTGTGTTTCTCATACCGTGTACGTCCACGGTACGACAGGCTAATCTGGTTTGGGTCGGTGTGGTGAGCGAACTCCCTACGACCTTCTGAAGACACACGGAACCACATGACCCGCTTCATGGTGTGACCTGTAAAGAGAAAGCCACAGCATAACTCTACATCCAAACTCAGAAGAAAAATGATGGAGGACGAAAAAAGCAGCAAACTATTAAAAAGCTTTAGATTATTTAACTAATTTTAAGTGTTTGATCTTGCACACATGTAGAATCCAGAGCATTTTATTGCTTTATTAATCAGTATAGAAAGTAAAAACTAGATTTTCAAAATACCAAAACGAAATGACAAAATACAAAAGAGAGGATTTATATATTGATTTCATACCTGATGGGTAGTCATAACGACAGGGCAAAGTCACAGTTGTTCCTGCCCACACACAGATCTCCCTCCTGGAAAATGACACACTCCACCTGCTCTCGATACCTGCAGGATGATTGAAGGGCACAAATATGCAAAATCATAAACAGCAAAAAATCACAAATGCAGCAAGTTCATTCACACGTGCATTGCTTATAAAAACTAAAACATACACATGCACACAAACACCAAATATTTCTTATGTATAACCTAAAAATGTATGCAAAGCAAGCTGATAGATGAAAGTCTCTATGCTCTGTCTTTCCACACCATTTGTTCTCATACTTTGATCCAGAACCAGTTCAGTGATCAGCATCCATAACTACTGACTGTCACATATACAGACTGCCTGCCATAGAAAATACGCTACCAAAAGTTTAGGGAATACACACTTACAGACTAAAATAAGTGTAAGTTTAAACCGCCAACAAGTTAAAGTTTTCCTCCAATGTGGCTCCTCGGAGAAAAACTTGTCAAACCACAGCTCTGATGAGCCCAGAGAATGACACATAAAACTGAAGCAGTGAGAGTGAGCCTTGATGTGCAGCCGTGGTGTCGTCCTGTGCTGCTAACTGCCTGCCTGGCTGACTACCTTGCACAAAAGGCAATCAATACTTATAAATAACTTGAGCGTAAAGGCAAGGGCACCTGGCTGCAGGACCTTATGTGCATAATGGATCCAATAAGTCATTTTAACTGTTGTTTTACTGTATGTAAAAATATATATATATATATATATATATATATATATATATATTTATGATATATCTGTAATACAGTACAAATATTTGACAATTAAGGCGCCTGTCAGTTCTCATCCCCTTAACTAATAAGAATATACTTATTAAATCCTTCAGTTAAGTTTAACACCTCATGATGAAAAGTTCTGATGTATTTTTGTGTTTCTCTCTTACCTGGTAAAGCTGTAAGGATGGTGCCCAGAACTAACGCACCTGCCAACATCTCCGCTGACGCGAGCTCTGTAATGTCACCGGAGAAGAAGAAGAGCACAGGGAGACAGAGAGGTGAACAAAAAATATATCAGAATAAACAGCATCCAGCTGAATACATTTAAAGCACTCACCCCTTAAAGTATCTTCATTCAGTCAGTCAGTCAGACAGAACAGGGTTTGAGGGATGCGTGTGACCTGAACAGTGATGGAGGTGATTTTTTTTTGAGCGATGAGAGTTGGGTGGTAGGTAATGGGAGGAGGAGTGGAAGGGGCAGAAGGAGGAGGATGAGGAAGAGGAAGTATGTGTGTGCTTTCAAAGTAACTTCAGCTATGTTCCTGTATACTGTCTTTTTAAACTTTTCTATTTTCACTTTTTCCCACTTCTCCCTCTGAAACAGTTTCAACGGTCAATGATGTCATGAGTCTGGTTTCCCTTTGTGTTATTGTGAAAATGTGACATCCTTGTGATCATGTCACTTGAACAATTGTCTCTTCTAACTTGATGTCATTAACCTGCCGTCAGTGAAATGTGTTATCAAGCAATCTCATATTACAGCCAAAGATTAAGTGCTGCTTTGTCTCAAAGCGTCCCAAAGAGGCATTCATTAGGAACGTCATCAGGCGGCAACCATAACCATAATCTCTTTACTGTCTTCTATGTAACAAGGCATAAAATGACACAAAACTAATAATACATGTCAACTAAGTTATTGTTATTGGCTCTTGATTGTTTATCAGAGCAACAGCATTATTAAAGGAGATTGTCATTCTTGTTGGGGGGAGTTATGTCACTAGCTAGTTGCTAATTTTGCATGTCTTCTGTTTAGCCCTGGGCAGGCAGTATACAGCTTCATCAGAGGATTTACTGTAAAACCAAAATAATGAGCTGAAAGATGCTAAAATGCTTCATAAAGCTAAGGGGAACTGCTGCGACAGTTGATAATTCTCTGTGGGTTCATCTCTGTGAGTGACAATCTTCACATCAATCGCAGTTATTTAACCCATTGTTCATGTAAAAATATTGATGAGTGCAGCTTTAATGGTGAAGCTGCAGACTGCAACTAACTGAACACCGCTGACGACCTGGGAATGAGAACAGGCTGTGAAGTGAGTAGGAGAAACTACATGGCGGTTCAACATGGTGGACTCCATAGGAAGCAACCTGTCTGTAGATAAAAACGTTTCATTCTAAGGTAACAAAAATTTTACGATTCCTATATTCAGGTGATTATACACTAATGAAAACACACTTATGAATATTATATTCCACTTCTGCCAACAAATCCTCCTCAGTGTTACACACTGGACCTTCAACTACATATTCATCCTGATCAATAAACATATAGACTGTTCTGTGATCAAAACGGTAAAAGCGAGTGAGTCTTTACTCTCCTCGACGTTGTCACAATATTGTTGCATACTCTGACCATCATGATTGACTGATTGTTAAAAAGACAGACATGTATGGGTCATTTGTAATATGAATTCAGGCTTGTTGGCGTACATTAACACACATAAGTCAAGCAGACATGGACTCGGCAGCCCAGATGTCCTCTCATCCACTGCTCTAATTGAGAATTGTTGGCACAAAAAACTACCCACAACCAGACGTGGGGAGGTTCGAGACCTCTCAGTCAACTGTGTCCACTTAGCCTGATGAGTCTAAATGACTTTAACATCCTACCCTGCCACAACTTGGCCAATAGATGTCAGTTTAGCGTCATGACTCGGCCAATTGGCTACTTACCCCAGCTTTGACCCAAGAGTAATGATGATGTACAGTTTAACATTTCAGTCAATCTCTATTCAAAGGCATCCAAGTCAGAGAATGAAGAGAGGGTTAACTGCAAGGTTTCAGAGATGATATCTTGATCTACATGTGGAAATAAATGCTGTCGTTTTACTTATTAGCCGTAAAATATGATGGTTGGGGTTTATTATTTTGCTTTTATTAAATATGACAGTAGAGGTAAAGTAGATAGGAAAAGATGGAAGAAACAAGGGTATAACGGACAACACAGATCCTCAGCTGAAGTGGTACTGTGGTACTATTAACCATTAGGCTTAGGACGCCCTCTAAAACAACAGACCAAGAGGTCTGCATTATGTTTAGTGGGGAATCTGAACTCAACTTTAAAAGGTGACACTAATAAGGAACAGAAATTCTCTGGTTGGGAAAGTTACCTTCAAAATATAATCAAAATCCTCAGGATATGAGGTTAAATGAACAATATATTCCAGTTCACAGATTGCTAGGTTGGATTATGGGTTGGGACCCAAAATGGGTCGCAGGCCCTCCTCTAGCGGGTCTCCACATGACAAGAACGCTCGTATGATTTAATGATCCTGGATCCCAGGAAAAAAAAAGTCATTTTGGTTCCTGGCTGAAAAGTTTTAAGAACCTTCCCCCACCAAATACTGTCTGTATTATGTTGAGTAAGAAGAGTGGTGGGCTTTGAGCTTAACCTGTAACCACAGAATGACTTCAAAAGGATCACGGCACACTAATAGGTCAAAGCCTGATGTAATCTTAATCGAAAGCAGACCGGACTAAACGAATGAAGAGAAACAGATGGATGGAGCTAGATTAAGTGTGACTGACCACAAACAGAGAGAGAAAGAGGGTGAGAGAGGGAGGAATGAGAAAGTTTGAAGGGGAAGGGATTATAGAGGGGAGAGACAAAAACACGATGAGGTAAGGTTGCTAAGGAGGAAATAAAGAAAAGACAGACAGGAGACGAAGGAGAGGAAGTTGGGAGGAAAAGGAGGAAGAACGAAGAAGAAGAGGGGAAAGGTTTAAAAGAAAAGTGTTAGGTTTGTCAGAGGAGAGAGAAAGAGGAAGAGAAATGGAAAAAATTGTGAGAGGGAGCTATTGACAAACGTATGACAGCGTATCCAACCCTTACGGTAGGGAAGGTATCCATCCACTGACCACAGCCTCTAGGCCAGATGAAGTGTGACCGTCTGGTGGTCAGACTGGACCTGAAGATTTTCCGCTGTTGCAAAACACTTCCTGCCTGCTGTTTTCATGTAATGTGACCGCTCACAGTTTGCTCCCCTGCCATACTTTAAGTTGTACAATATGTTATTTCTATGTTACTTCTTATGCCCACAGATTAGACTCTTGGCTCTCCAGGCCCTCCAGCCTTGGACGGACTCCACATAAGCAAATAATGATTCGACTGTCCAACATGTGTTAGTCTTCAGTTTGAGTGGTGCTCTCCACGGGGGAAGTCTGGGCAAGAATGACGATGATCAGAGCTACAATCATATCTGACAAGGTGATGTGTTGTTCCTGTGCTGTCTTTTAGGAGCTCTACTTGATGACTTGATGAGCCGGACTTTTGCCAAGAGAATCACTGAACCAACGGGGAATTAAATGAGAGAAATAAAAAGAAACTACGAGAGAGAAAGAAGGAGTTTCTTTTTTGTTAAAGTGGTACATCTTATCAATAAAACACACAGTATTTAGCCTCTTAGACACTTGACTTTCATATTCAAGCCAAACCAAACACTTGATGAATTTTTAAAACTCTTAAATCTTTGAAGCCTATTGGAGCTCCATTAAATTTACCCTGGTTTTGCTCATTCCTGTCCCATTCACAAACTCTGCTGCAGGGTCGGATTTCTGCTCCTTGTCTGCCAGAGACCTGTCTGTGGCTGCTGTGGTATTCCACGCTGAATGAGTCATGTCTGGTGGTTATTATGGGCAGGCGTTTGGCTCCCCCCCGTCTCTCACCCCGTCTAGTGGCAGCAGACAAAATTACATCTTTTTTTGAGCCTCGTCCAACCGAGCTGACTAAGATGAGGTTCTCAGTTAACCAGGCTAGATGAGTTAAGGACACATTTTTGGTTAGTGGTGTAAGAATACATTGCTTATGGTTATATTGTGTTTTATTGAGGCCAAAATAAAAGAAAGTAGTGTCCCTTTAAATCTGAAAATCAAGAGAACTCAGGCATACGTCTACACTGTGTGTCAGAGCCTCAGAAACTGTCTTATCAATCAATCAGCTAGTTACCTTGGGCGTGGGGCTAAGAGGTGTAGGAGGTATAACTCAATGCATAAGATCAGTCTCTCTTTCAAAAAACGTACCACACAGCAGTTTTACTTGCAGAATGGATAAAAAGACGAAGCATTTATTCTTATTTGGCCAGGCTACAGGGTGAGAAAAGATGCATTTAATTTAGCAAAAAACATTGTGTAACCAAACTAGTTTACAAACTCAACCTAAATCAATCATGCAGAACAGCCTCCCTAGGATTATCAATCATATTTAGTTAAGTAAAGTTAAGTTAAGTTTTGAAGGATGCAGTTCAGTAGAGTAGTGTAACACTGATGGGTGATAAAAATCTTGATCTTTGACACTGGATATTTTGGGAAATATGTATATTCACTTTCCTGAAATAAATAAGAAGATCGATCTAATGTCTGTATGGTAAATATGAGTTAGCAGCTGGATAGTTTACCTTAGCATAAAGACTGAAATCATATGTCTTATATAGAGTCTTGACTTGACCAGTGCCAGGAAAAGAAATAGTTGTAATTCTTGACTGGCACATAACCCCCCGTAAGACCACAATTTATCATTTTTACACTTTAAACAAATGAGACATAATATAAGATAATAAGTGAGCTTTAGAGGTGATGGTAGTTGATTTTATTACTTTTGGACAAAAACAGTGTCACTATTTTCAGTCATTATGCTATGCTAAGCTAACCAGCTACTGGTGGTAGCTTGACATTATTTTAACTCTTTTTATCTCTCAGCAAGAAAGTGAATCAGTGAACAATTCCTTTAATATTTTATGATGATGACACTGACATGTGATGTGACATTGGCAATAAACATTCAAAAATGTTGTAATTAATGTGTATAATCCAACTCTTTTTCATCAAATATCAACATGTTTGCTGAGTATGTTGAACCGTTTTAGGCGACTATAAGAAAATGAATTTGCAGACCAGGTGATTTATTAATTAATACACCCACAAACAGTTTCCCAGTGCACAGCTCCTGTGGAGCTGTTTAGAGTCATAGCTTAAAGATTCACAGTCTGTAGATGTGAGGAAACGAAGAGCACACCTTGTTCACTTCTACTGTCCAGATTTTCCCTGCTGGGAGTCTTTATGTCAGCCGTCAGTCGCACAAACGTTCTACTGAGAGCCAAATGACTCTCTGTCTCTGTACTTCTTGTGTTTTCAAATATGAGTAAAAGCTGTTTCCT